CGCAATGAATCCTAATAATCAGAATGATTACATAGTCAGAAAGTTGTGCAACCACTATCTGAGTAGCTAATAACACAATATAGGTATTGGGAACACTACGTTTCTTGCTGGAAAATAATCTCAGTCAATTTAGTGCAAACAGCAGACTCGTGAATAGCATAAATATTCACAGCTTGATCATAGAGAAATAATAAGAGAAGCAAGCAACTGAAAACATAAAGGAAAGAATGACTCAAAATATAATGGAAGAATAATAACAAAGAAGAGTGTAAGAAATCAAGAGACAAACCGGCAACTTCTGGTTTAAGTCAAGTCCTTGATTGTCAGCTGAAATACAATCAGAGTCATCAAGACGTTCTCGTAAATCTTTATCAAAACCATGTGGAAGCCTTTCAACAAGTTCTGATGACGAGGTGTTCACCCCATTGATTCTAGGGAATGAAATTTCAGAAGCTAATTCTGACTTTTCCTCCCTGATCATATGACATGTGGATGTATCAACTTTACAAGTTAGTTCCCTAAGCTTTTGCTCCAAAAGAGCACTTAGAGCATCACTACCTATTACATTAAAGCCGTGGGAAAAGAATGCTGAACTTTTTGAATAAGGGATATCATTGTCACCCGAAAAATTATTACCAAAGCTGATATCCTTTTCTATCCCTTCACCCGATGACTGAGGGTCAGGCATTGACCTTTTCAGGGGTGAGGAAAATGTAAATGAGACAATATCTGTATCTTTTTTTGGGCTATCTGTGCTCCAGTTCATATCCCCGTCTGTTGTAACATTACATTTTACGGACTTTTTACCGCTCCTAATCAATAAATTTTCAGAAATCCTTTCTTCAGGATCCCCACTTGCAGACTGTTTCTTTCCGGAACTCTTTCTCCTAGACAAATTCCTATCAGTATAAGTTGTCGTAGAACCTGGCTTTCTGGATGTAACTTCAGAGTCAAGAACAACCTTATTAGTGCTCCTATTTGCACCAGACGAAACATTCATGGACGACTTAGGCTGTCTGCATCCTTGGTTAGGAGGTGAACTTTTCAAAGTCGAACTGTCTTTGCAATTCTGCTTCTGGTTGTTCTGTCTCAGCACAGTCTTAGTCTTATTCAGGGAAGTTCCTTTAGGAAAAGTCTTTTGTGTATCTGGTTGACTCCTTAAAGCCTGTTTTGCTTTGTTATCACTCTCTTTCTTCAGTTCCTTGAACTCCTACTACTTGAAATGGATCCTTCTCTCCTCTCGACATTGACCTTTGCTTGGACTGCAAGCGATACTGACTTCCCTTTCTTCCTTGAATTATTAGAATTCCCCTTTCCTGAAGCCACAGAGTTCTTGGTGCATTCTGATACGATGTTGCTCTTACCATTACACTGTCCTTTCATACACTTTGCGGCACTGTGATAAATAGGTGTTTGAGGTTTTGATGCTTTATCTGCAGCTTCCAGCTTCTCTTTCAAATCCCGGATCCTCAAGGGAACAGATGAAGAACCTATAGCAGACACCTTTTTCTTGGCAGTTCCTTGCGGATTTGCTTCAATTATCTTTGCCACTGCCTCCATTACATAAGCTGCATCTCTTGTAGGAATGAACCCCGGACTACTAATAGGAGACAACAGCTTATGGTGGGTACTTGGAATTGATTTAGCAGATTTTGGAGGCAATGATTCAGTTTGAAATCTCTCAATGGGCTTGCTTCGAACCTTATTGACCTTTGATTCTGCAGGATTCCAAAAAACACTATCCAACTTATTAGGAGCACTGAGGTATTCCATGGGGTGATAGACATTCCAAACTTCCTGCATTTTCTTCTCAGGATGAGATAAACCATGAAAGTGGGAATTTCGAACAGCGGTAGCACGGGCTTCTGGAACATTTGAGATTGGTAAAGAATCTAAACCCATAAGTCTAGCAACCACTCCAGGAGCCTTAGCTCCATATCCTTCATCGCTAGCGACTGATGAAGTGCAGTTAAAATCAATACTTCCTTTATTACTCGAACTTTCTCTGCTCTCATCGAGTTCAGAGTGCTAAATACCACGACAGCAAACAAAATATCAAAAATTTGCTTCTACAATAACAGATGAAAAACTTTTGTGTGAAATAAGATAAAGAAAGCAAGAGGAACTCTAACCAAATGAAGCCTTGACTTTGCATCACTCTCCACAGTCTCTTTCCGTTGTTCTGACCCTTCTAAACATAAATTTTGATTGAATTAGCAACATCAAATAAAAAAAGATAGTTATGTTCATATTCATAATCCCATGATAACAATAGATATACCAGGAAGGTCAGCATTGTTTGCAAACAGCTTCTTGCGGGATTTGCCATGCCAATCAAACAAAAGAAGAAAACCTCCCTTCGACTTCTTTTTGTCAACCTCCATTATCTCTTCCACAAAGACCAAATCACCTGTTTCAAAATATACGACATGTTGAGTCCAATCATACTTACAGTAGCCAATAGGCTTAAACTACATCGTTCGGAGAGAAAGGAGATCAAAGGAGACCAACTTTAGATCTATTAGCAGAAAAAATTGGAAGGTTCAAATCGAAACACACCCAAAATCGCCTATATTGGTCATAGAAACAACAAAGAAAAAGTTCCCATATCCCAAATCACTTCTCACCTAGAAAAGGAAATGCGAATCATATTAATAGAAGTACAGAATAGCAAGCACAAGGGAGATACGAATTCATGTTTAACTTTACTAAAAAAGAAAAAAGTAAACTTGAAAGGAAAAGGGAATACTGAATCTAAACTTACCAAAAATGCTTCATGTGCAAAGCTCCATTTTTCCTTCTCAGGTCCCAAGCTCTTTCTTTGCCTTTCCGCAAAATGGTAAAGAGGGAAAAAAATCAAATCATCCAAACTCGCATATCTTCAGGAGCTGCAGCAAGCCAAATGGGTGATCTTCCAAATAAAACAGAAACTGACAAACTATGGGAAATACCAATCAACCTTACCATGAGCCCTTACACGCGCAAAACCTCTCATTTCCAAACTCCAAGCATTCCTCCAGGCATTTCACCTTCTTTGTTTCTTCTCTGGACCATAAAATGCAGATGCAAAAAACTGAGGGGGAGAACTGAAATACCCAGATAAATCAGGTTAGGAGGCTAAGAACCAAAAAAGCACCGGGGGGAACACACAAAAAAAAAAGGTAAAAGATGATCTATTATCGGACACAAAAGTTTAATTTTATGAGAACCTAAGCTATGAGTCAAAACAAAAAGAGAAATGGGTGACATAAGCAGAATATTTGGAGAGTGAGGGTGAGAGATTTGGGTGGAGAAGACTAAGATGAAGAGTGATGGAGTCAACAAGTAGAGAATAAACTTCAAAAGAGTGAAAGAAAGAAATTTCTGCTGAATTTTTTAGCATTAAACCTTGAAAAAGAGGAGAAGAAGAAGAAGAAGAAAAGGAGGAAGAAGAGACACAACTGCAGTCGACGTGTTATTATTTAATGAGTTAGTGGCTGGTCCTGTGAAATTATTAAGAAAAATAAAAAAGTTGCCATTTTTATTTTTAGCCAAGCGAAGTGGGCGGTTTCTTAACCGTGTGATTTGGGTATTTTACCCATAACTCACAACAAATCAATGGGCTCCACTTGGGAAAAATCATTAGAATTCAAATATTTTGCCCTAAAGTTTGATGATTATGTAGTTTGTACCTTCCATTTACTTGTTCTTTTCCCCTTTTGGATTTATCCCATTTTTATCTCTGATGAAAATTATTCTCAAGAAAAACTCTTCTTTGTTCTTGGTTTTAAACCTAGATAAGAATTATTTTCTAAACAGTTAATCACACTATAACTACCCTTTTGGTAATCTAAGAAGATGGTATCAATATATTTTATATTTTGTTTAAATATAATGAGAGACTTTACAATTAAGTTAGATTTTTAAAATTTTAATTTATAGAATAAAATTATATGCAGATAGAATAAAAGTACAACAAATTAAATATATAAATTACGACTAAATAATACACACTAAATAATCAATATCTAATAATAGAGTATAAATAAAATAAATTTGAATAAAAAACAACCCAACAAACAAAAAATTTCACAGTGTTTAATCTAACTAGCAAACAATAACACCCTCTGTATTGTTCGTCATTATATCTTCTTATTTTATATATATATATACATGTGTGTGTGTGTGTATTGTTTTTCCTCAAAGAACAGTGAAGTACAAACTACCAAATCCACCGTTGATTTCATCTTTTCTTGTCTTTTTTGGGTGAAAAAAATAAGAAGGAAAACTTGGTCTTACTTCAAATTGCGAAATTAACGGAAAATTTAGATACAAAATTAAGGGGAGATCAACATGTCATACACATCCAATCAAACTTAATCGGGCAAATTTTTGAAACAAAATGATAATTACGAAATCAGATTAACCAGTTTATTCAAAATTAATTAACTTCACCTTTTTAATAAATTAATTAAGTTAATCTTATTATAATCAAGTATAAGAAAAGTCCACTTAAAGCAAAAGTGTGGAATAAAGGGCTGTTGACATGTCGATTATATAACTTAAAATTAAATTAAGACATTTTCTCATAAGTCTGAGATAATTATCACATTAATCGCATGGTGGTTGCATGTGATATGAAGTTTTTTTTTTTTTTTGGGTCAAATATTCCTCCAAAAAAGTCTACTTTTAGAGATTTTAGATCTTAAAGATTTTTTTGTTGACCTCACAATCGGCAACGTGATACGAGAAACAAAAAAAATAAATAAATAAATGGGTAATGATATTCTGATCTATTTTAACCATAAAATTTGTTGCATCAAATCCGGACTGCACCAGTTCATTTTGTAAATTAATAGTTCAGATCTATTTTTACTGAATATCATGGCTTTATTTTGAACCAAGGCATGATATAAATTTCATATTTAAAAAGATTTTTCCAACACTAGGTTAGGATTTCTCCTCCCCCCCCACCCCATTAGGATGGTCAAAGCTCTAACCAAAACGAGAGTGATTCTATGTTCAGGAGACCATAATCAATTAGAACAGAGTATGTGAAGTCACCGGCAGGCTGAACTTACTTGACTGCCAAGCATTATATGCCAGAATTGTAATCATCAGATCCGAAGCTGTAACCATGTGTCAGCGGGTACTTTCTCTGCAGAGAAAGAGAGAGAGAGAGAGAGAGACAGAGACAGAGACAGAGAGGACCCATCTAATTGAACTGTAATTAGATGCGACAAAACCCTATTTACATACATTTTATCACTAATGGATTTCAGATAAAATGTAGAAAACAAAGTTTGAACACATTACATCAGTCCAGCCAAGCAAAAAAATGCACTGTCTCTTCATCCTTAAAATCTTAATCCCCACCACAAGGAAAAAAAAGACTGGAAAATTAAAGCCCGCTTGAAAACAATACTTCATATATATACATATATAGTACAGAACATTTCGATACAAAAAAAAAAAAAAAGATGCCACGAATGCTATAGGTGGTGTGATCGAAAGAAATGTGTATCTGGGTTTATGTTTAAATAAACATTTTATCTCCCAGGCTACTTGAGCTTTTTAATGGGTTGAACCAAGGTTTGGATGAAATAGGTTGTAGTGTCTTTTGATCTTCCAAGTAGATTTCAAGTACTCGTGGCTTGTGCTTTGCCCATGTGTCAAAAAAAAGTAATGGCAACAAAGAGAATAGGGGGCAGTGGCCCCTAAGGGAAGGGTGGGCATACCTCAGCCGCATGTATAGACAAACTGGCATGTGCTCATAGGGAAGCCTTGAGACAATTGTCACATGGACTGGAACCATATTTGCATGCTTTACGGTCAAAACGCTCTCCAAAATGCTCAAGCAGGGTTTGTCTCCGACATTCAGCCTGAAGAATTCAAAGTAAGAAAGCATGATAATACATATTCTCATGGACAAACTTCACTTTCAGCCATAAATGACATGGAATTCATTCTAGCATAGTTGTAGGAATAACTGTTTTATGTACCTTAAGTTCACAATACTGTTGCATTTTCTGAGCTTGAGCCATTGCCTTCTTAAAGCTTTCTTTCTTATTGCGTTGCCCGTTCCGTAACATACATACAACCCGACTAAAATCCTTCTTTTGGTATAAACAAATACATACAGCAGGAAGATTATCCCTTCCGGCCCTTCCCGACTCCTGATAATAGCTCTCGATCGATTTGGACATTGTGTTGTGGACAACAAAACGCTGAAGAGATTAAAAAAATTGGCTTACTTTTAATCAAAAGCAAAAATATCATTTGGAAAAAAAAAAAAAAGAAATAATGAAGAAACTACACTGATGGAAGAAATTAAGAAATATACAGCGAGGATGACTATTGTAGGTTAATCATTTTTAAATGAAAAAGAAATACTCTCTGAAAAATCACATCTGTATAATACACAAATAGGTATGATATACTTTAAATAAATGGGTCTACATGACTACATCACTCTTATAACATCCAAAAACTTTAAAAAAGTGTTATTCTTGCTGTTGGCACATTGATGCATGTATGAAGATTTATCATGCTATTGAAAAGAATGAAAAAGGCTTGCATCAAAACAAATTTCTTAACTATCCTACAGCTGGACTAAATGGCCATTATGTTAACAAATCAATACCGTAGCTTTCATTCTTTTCAATGTTGTAGAAGACGAGGAATCAAAAAGAGAAACGAAAGACCTTATCTGTACATACCACATCTGGTTTGTCTATTCCCATCCCAAAAGCAATGGTAGCGCATACAATATGAACCTCTCCTGTATGCCATTTTCTCTGAACAGCAACTCTTTGACTAGCTGCCAAACCAGCATGGTAATATACTGTCTTAATCTTGCATTTTTCATTCAGAAACTTTGATACCTCAGCACATTCATTTTTTGAAAGGCAATATACAATTCCGCTCTGATCTTTGAAACAATCTTTTAGAAGATGTCCAAGTTGCTTCAGTGGATCCTTGCTCTTCCCCATTACTTCGTATTTCAAGTTGGGCCTATCAAAGCTTGTCTCAAGGACAAGAGCACGGGGAATTCTTAAAGTTTTAAGAATGTCCTGCAAAAATTAAATTGGTATAAGATAACCATCAGACTGAAAAACTTGAAGGTCATTATCTTCTTACCTCACGAACAGATTGAGTTGCTGTGGCAGTTAACGCCATCACTGGAACATCTGAAAAGTTCTGCTTAAGACATCTTAATTCCCTATAATCTGGTCGGAAATCATGCCCCCATTGGCTGGAAACCATAATTAGAATTGAAAAAAAAAGAAGTTAACTAGAAGCAGTATTATAAACAGCTAAATTACCAAGCTTCCCACTTATTTATATATTAAAAAAAGGAGTCAGTAGTTTATGAACATAGATCCACTGGAATATGAAGGGATTACTTGTACGTGTCAGAGTTGGAATAGATAATGCCTCTAAAACTAATAACTATGGTAAAGGAAAGAACATACCTCACACAGTGTGCTTCATCAACAACAAAACCTGCAAGTTGTCTCTGCAATTCAAGTAAAGCAACTATCATATCAATACAAGATTTTCTAAAGTTTACACCACAGCACCTTTCAACTATATTCAAACAGAGAACAAAAAAAAACTATATTCCAACAGAAGCTTAAAAAGGAGGTACCTTCTGATGCAAGCATTTTAGTATCTCAAAAAAATATCCATTTCCAGCAATCCTTTCAGGAGTCACATATAAGAGCTTACACGATGGTTTATCCTTCCTGAGAAAATAAAAATAGAGCGAGCATGTGAAATTAATAAAAAATGGAGCATTTCGAATTTAAAAAGATAGTTTGTTTTCAATTGACATTTTCGAGTCAATTGTAACAGTAAAAAAAAACACAGTATTGCTTACATTTAGCTGCGAAATATATTAATTATTTAACTATCTTAAAGAAGCTTTCGAAAATATATTAGTTTAACCTGCCTTAGCTCTTGAACAACAGCAGCTGCTTGATAACTGGTTTGTTGAGAATTCAGAAAAGTTGCTGGTATTCCAAATTTGAGGTTCAATGTGATTATCTGATCCTGAATGAGGGAAAGTAGAGGAGATATCACCACTGTAACACCAGGTTTCAAAGTCGCAGGAAGCTGTAAAAGCATCAAGTAACAGACATTAGAATTATGTAATCAACAGAGGAAGGAAAAACCAGCCTAGAGAAAATCTAGTTATCTGATTATTTGACAACCACAATGTCTTTGGGTCTTCACAAGAGATGAAAAAAAAAAAACAGCCAACCTTCTTTGTCCAATACCTTGAAGAAAATGGCATGCATTTGTAGCAAAGCAGAAGTGCAGATGCTCAGGTTCAAATCCTGATGTGTGTGTGTGTGTGTCTTTTCTTCAGTTTAAGCCATGATGCTGCTTATCCGAACAAGAACAACTAGATGGATTCTAAGGAGAGGAATATACCTGATAACACAGACTTTTACCACCTCCAGTTGGCATGAGAACGAAACAATCCTGCTTTTCCACAGATGCTTTACAAGCCTGATACTGCAATGGACGGAAAACCTTGTTTCCAAATATTACAACATTTGCTAGTTCAAAATCATCAAGAGCCTGTAGTTGTTCATAACTGAGAGTCTCATGTTCAAACTTTGGAGTCTGAAACTGCTTCTTATTGGAAATCAATGAAACTGGATCTTGCGTGATACCATTCATAGAGTCCTTCAGAAAACAAAATACTTCAGTATGCAGACCTACTTTCAACTCATAATTCCACTTACTGATATACACAAGCATATACGAGTACTTATACATTCAGACCTCATGATTAACAAAACCATGTTTTCATCAAGTCCCAAATTTAATTAATGGTTAGAATTTATTAGAAATAATTAGTTGAAGTTTTGAGATTAGTGATAATTAGCTAAGAATTACCTTCAATTAGTTTGTTATCAGCTATAAAAGCTAGTGCTTGTAATTGTTTGGTTCAAAGAAAAACTGAATGAAAATTATTGACATTGTCAATTCTCTACACATTATGTAATTTCTCTTATTCTTACTCAAACCCTTCTCCATCTCTAATTCAGGATCTAAGATATTGACAGTTTGCTGCCCAAAAAAATATCAGAACTATTAGAACAATCACATATCTTAAACTACATTCAGACACCAAAACCCCTTGTGTAACTACACCCAGATGCCAAAATATTGGATTTCTACAATGCAGAAGGTAACATTGACTCATCGAATGATTGCTGGAAATCTTTCTTACCGCAGATTTTGAAGGACGTTTTCCCAAACTGGATTGTGCAGATCTTTTATCCTTTTTCTTTAGAATTCTTAAACCTGTGTCTTCGCCACCGCTAGAAGAATCCAACTCCATAGAGTTATAGCACTTTTTGGGTTCAGGTGAATCATCTATAATGCAGATATGGCTTCCAGCACGTGGACTAGTTTCACCTTCATTGTTTTTAGGAATATCTTTGTTAAACAAGTCACTCAAAGTTCCACAAGCTTCTGATTCCAGAGCCTCTAAATCATCCCAGTCCTCATTTTCTTGCATAGATTCAGCCATTGAAGCAATAAAGTCATCACCGCAGTGCTCCACAGTGATAAAATCCCGGCCATCGTCACCTTAACGAAAAGTTTTAGAAAGGAAGAACAAGAAACCGGAAAAGATGACAACATTAACAAATCAGACCTTTTGTCACACAAACCATCAACATCTGGCCATTAGCCATTGATTTGAACTTCTCTAGTTTTAGAAATATATACATACATTACACACATATAAATATATAAATAGCTTTAAGCTTGAAGAACCCATCTCAATGGCTGTACATTTCATATCTCAAAACCAGATCCCATTTCAATCTCCATAAGACAGGGCAGAGTAGCAGAAATTAAAAACTGTAGAAAGCAGGAGGAGACCATTGCAAATGAACGTCCATTTCATACAATTTCAAAGACACAAACCCATTAAAACTGTACAAAAGGAAATTGGAAAAATAATCAAACTAATTTTTTAAAACCAATAACAAGTCATTTCTCCATGATAGAGTCACAGAGAAAGCAAGTACCGTAGAGAGAAATCAGACGATCTAAACATTTCTTTGCCAATTCCTCGTCGAAACCAAAATCGAGCGCCAAGCTAATGAGTCTGGCTTTCTCCAATTCCATATCGGGATCCTCCATTCCTGAGAATGGTGAAGCCGTATTTCGATTTCAAAAAACGTTGGTTTTCTCCCGCGCTGCAAACTCGAAGTTTTTGAAAGTTATCGGCCTAGAAAACGGAAAACAACCCGCCCACTTTCTAGGGTATTGGGTGCGGGAGAACGGCGCCATTTTATACAAGGGAGACGCTCATACTTTACCCCAATCCGACACCGTTTGGCAAAGAAGAATGATACGGAAACCACCAAGCCCAATGTCCATATCCATAAACATGGCCGATCGCTTATTAAGGAAACCTCCAATCTATGTTCTTAGTTTAATTTTGTTTTTACGTAGACAGTGAAATAATATTAATAATATGTAAGTATAAATAACGAAATTTAAATTAGTTTTTATGAATTTTATTTAAATTATTTATTGAAATATCATGTTGGCATTAATTTTTTGGGCAGATTGCTTTTGGTATTATTGTTAATAGGAAATGTTGGAGTCTTCTTCTAATTATATAGGTGTAGCATTTTGTTGAGATAATTCTTTCAATGGTAAATTACAACTTCTTAAAAAGTTTCAATTACAACTACCCAGAAAATCAATTTCGTTATTTTTCAATATAAATTTTATCATCTCTTAATTAAAGCAAGAACGAAGAAAAAATAATTCACTAGTCTTAAACATAGCCGAAGGAGAGAATTCAAATACGAGAATATTAATACTAAGAAAAGTCTTCGACAAAAAGATAAATGTAAATATATATATATTTAAATTTAATTAAGAGATGATACCAAATTGAAGGAAAAAACCAACAAAAGACAAAAGAGGGTGACCCTCGTTAAATATAAATATATCATAAAATCATATACGATACGTACATCCATGTTAATATGCACGATTATGATATCCAAATTCATGCAAATGCATGTTAGTTTCATTGACCGGGAAGTTTTTCTCGAATCAAGGTAAAAAACAAGACAGAACAGAGATTTCAGCACCTTAGAAATCAAACCCTGGACCTGCAATGTTTAACATCATCATCATCATCATCATCATCATCATCAACAAGAAGCCACCCGAGTATCATATATATATATATATATATATATATAGATAACCAACCTTCTGACATGTATATGTACATTTACATATCATGTTTATACGTTCTTGAATCTCTTCTTCTCTCTAGGCAATACCTATGATTTTAGAGCATTGCAACTTGATCCAGCGAAACCCTTTCTTGATAGATGCCTTAACCTTCCCTTCCGCGGCATAAAACTTGTACTTTGCGACTCTCTTCTTCCTTTTAAGCTCTTTAGAATTCCAAAACCCCTTTGATGACGATTTTGCTGATGCCAGCTTGTTTGGCTTATGATGATGATGATGATGATGATGATGATGATTACCACCAAAGTGTCTGTAGGGAAAATCATCCTGCGACGACCTCCCAACGTACACCCTATTTACAGAACTCAAGGAGGTCGGATCAATGATTTGGAGACTCCGGCCACCTCTGTATGATTGGTAGGTGTTGGTTGGCCGGAACTCCATCTCTAAGATATATGTCACTCAATCAAAATTGAGAGACAAAGAGAGATAGAGATGGCTTAATTTAGGGGTTGGTGTTATTATATCTCCCTACCCAGTTTTTATGGAGAAGAGAGGGGGTTAATAAATAACCAAGAGACGTTTTTATTGTTGAGATGGGTAGAATTGGGAAGAGAAAATCAGTGGGCATAATAAAAAAGAAATGTAGTTGTCCAAGTGTGTCCTTCGTTTGTCTTTTTTCCTTTGCCTTTGGAATACGTGTCCAAGCATCTTATTCTTAATAAAATCACCAATTTGGTGAAATGGAACTGAAAAGTCGTAATAGTAATAACTACTAATTATTTATAAGTACTAATTTTTAGCCCTATAAAGAAAGTTAAAACTCATAATCAAGCAATTTAAAAATTAATATGTAATTACTGTTACTAATCTAAACTTCTGTAACACTGTCCCTTGTAATATAGAGAAAACCAGCATAGGACCGCTCCACCCCCAAGCACAAACCATTCCCATAGTTAAAAGTAGACTTCCATACGCCATGATGTTTAACAAGTAATAATGCATTGTGCAAATGAGAAGAGACACAACTGAAGGAACAGCCTAGCTTATTGTCACGTATGTTTAGTTTCAATGAAAATTCAGCAAAACCAAAATTTAAGCGTCAAACTATATGAAATTAGTTGCAACACTGATAGATCTAATGGCAAAAAGATTGAAATTATGATACCTTTGAAGTACATAGGTAAACCCTTTTCATTCAGAACTGCGAATCTGTCAATGTTGCCTCAGATACTAGTCCAGAAATTTGCAGCTACAGCTCCCTCTAATTTTGCCTCTTGGTTTGCAGAGAAAGAACCTGCAACCTTTTCATGAGGCAGAAATCCACTCAAGAAAAATTATTTACAGATGAATGTGGGGTAATGCATAGAGAGGAGTAGATGGCCAAATGCTCCGTTTGCCTCTGCTTCTGCATCGTCTCTTATTGGTCTTCTAGTAATCCATGCGTGAAACCTACATCAACAATCAAAATAAGAAAGGATCTACGGAGATGCACAGTGAAACCACATAAAGATAGTAAACAGAAATTCTGATGGAACTGTCATTTATACTTACAATGTGAGACTTCCACTCAATTTTCTCATGTCCCTCGGAAAAGTTTGTGCGTTGAGACCCATTACGAATGTGGTTGAATATGTGTACAAGTACTGCAGCATCAAGTGCGGCATATTCCAGCTGCACAAAACATATTACTTTCAGCATCTTGTTGAAAAATATGAATAAATTTTAGACTTCAAAACTTCAGTTATGGGTCACTATACAGTCCATTCAAACTCATGAACTTCTTAAAAATGGAAATACCATGATATTCCATGTCAAATTCTCAAAGCAACAAGAGTGTAAAAGCTCAATTATAAGCAACAAGATATCATCTATCCCGACTACGCTTCATATATTCAATAAATCTCTACCTACTTATGTATTATATATTAGGGCCCAAACACAACAAAATGTTTACATCCAAATTTGAACCGTATGAAAAGAAATCCAGGTCTTTTTTAGACATGAGATAAGATATAGACAAAAACTCAAGCCATCTTCCCAACAGCATCGTAAGCAATGGCATGCAGGAAAGGTAATTGTTATATACCTGATTCTGACTCAAAGGCCTTTGTTCCCAGTTGCTATTTCGTCTTGTTTTATTCAACCCTACCCCCAATATTTTCTGAATAAGAATAGACAACACCATGAGACAGAGGGATGGAAAGAGGACTCACACACCAACATGTGTGACTAATCATTATGGTTTCTCACCTTTGTAAGTCCTGACAGACCACCCTGATGTTCTCTGAACACATTTTGGATGTCAAGTAGCATTTCATAATGCTTGAAGCAATTCAAGTCTCCATACGAATGAGCCAGTTGCTTCACATCACATTGAAAATTATAACCTGCAAATTGGTGCAGCCACATTGAAGTAAAAGCACAAAAGGGATCGTCTCCCTGGAATATAAAAGAGTCTTATACCAAGTTTTAGAATCCCAGATGACTGCAAAATGCGTGTTAAGCAGTTGTTTAGACTATCTGGAGCATCTTGGGATAACTTTATTAGATCAAAGATGAAAACCTTCCTATCAGAAGCAATTTGCATTATAGAAACCTGAGACATGAGAACTTATTTCAATAAACAAAAATACTCTAGATGGCATAACATATAATCCAAACTGCCAAGAACATATCCCAGTAGTTAATAGCATGATTGCGATATTCACCAATCACATCTAAAAGTAAACTCTTTTCCCCACTTGAAAAGAAAAATTAAAGTAGACAAACAGGAAAAGATTGATCCCAGGAAATTAGATGTGATTAATGAGCAAGTACCTTGTTTGGTTTGTGTCCTTTCACATAGTTGGGTTTCCATTCACAATCAATGCCCACAACTTTGCATTCCTCGATGTAAGATGTTGCAATATGCAAACTGTCAACTTCATCAACCCAAGCAATACCTTCTCTAGTCAATTCATCAAGATGCAAAAACCAGCTATTGTGCAAAGTGGCCTCAGCTTCTGAAAAAAATCACAACAGTAGTTGTCTACGTTTTTTGTCTTTTCGAGATTCACAATTAAATAAATAAAGAAAGCTTGTCTTGCACATTGTAACTTGGAAACAGCACAGCTAAAAAAAAGGCCAAATTACACAACAACAATGACACTGAACAACCACTTAAGACAAATGATATGTCCATAATAACAGTAAAGTTGGCCAAATAATATCATGTACCTTTAGTCAAGATGTCAGAAACTCCACAAGTGGGAAATTAATTCCTTTTGATAAAGGGTATAAAGGAAGAAAAAGAAAATTATGTAACTCATAAATTCATGTATAGGGACTGGAATATCATGTTATGTGTGTAGTTGCTGTCATGAGCTGATGTGTAATATGTTTACTATACAAGTCTGATAGATAGGAAAAGAGAATAAGTCTATGATAAGACTATGAGCAGTTATGTGTAGATCTAGAAATAAACTTCCACCATAATTGTCCCTTCTGCGAAATAAAACTGGGCTCTCTTTTTGGCCAGCACTATAATGAAGAAGTATGTTAAAGTGTTTGGTATTTTTTTATTCAAGAGATATAGGGTTCTCTTTTTATGAGCCTTAGATTAGATTAAAAATAGGGATGGGCAGAAAAACATAAAAACGTCACAGAGATCCTAATAATTTCTATGTTTCAAGACCAATAACTAGATAAATTAGCCAGGACCGTAACAACAGGAGCAAACTGAAAAATATGGTAAAATCTGTTGGCAGAACGCAAGTTAGAGATCTAAGGAATTAACTTAATCTTAACATTCTATTGGCAGAATGCAAGTTAGCATCATCAAACAGATGAGTTTGTCCAAGGTGTAACTTAACAAATACAACTAAACAAATATGATGTGTTGGGAAGTGAATGTTTGTAGAAATTTGAACGACTGAGAAATCCAGGATTACCAGAATTTGCTATGTATTCTGAAAATGCAGAAACTGAACAATTCTGCTGACTGTTTGAAATGGAGGCTGAATCAAAATGGAGAGTTTTCTGCAAAGAGTTACTGCTACATTAGGGGTGAGAAGGGGGTGATAGAACCTCTAGCTTTCCAGCAAAACAGATTTGGAATTCTAGAGTTACTCCTAGGACTAGTTTCTTTGCATCGGGGGCAGCTAGGGCATGTATTTTGACACAAGATAAATTAGCCTCGAGGGGTCATTTTATTGCCAACAGGTGTTACATGTGTTTGTCAGCTAAAGAGACCTGTAATCATCTTCTTTTGTGGTGCCCTGTGGCTTATGAACTATGGACCATGGTGTATGGGCTTCTGAGGCTAAATTGGGTAGTGGCTGGGTACCGTCAAAGAAGAAATATGGGCATGGAGTGGGTTCTGGCTTGAAAATGATTGCAACAATTTGATTCCTCTCACGATGATGTGGATCATCTGGAAAGACAGAAACCTTAGAGTTTTTTAGGGAACGGAAAATCTGGTGAATAGATTGAGAGAAAAGTGGCTTCATTTTTTTGGGAATATGTTATTGGGGCATGGCATGATGAGTGGAATAGATTTTGGGATTGTCATTGATACCCTTACTAGAATGTAAATTTAGTTACATGGACAGTACCCCTTTTGGTACTATGTTTATAATACCACATTAGCACTTTTTATTTATAAAAAAAAAAACTAAACAAATATGGTAAAATCTGTAAATATGAGAGATCTAAGGAATTAACTTAATCTTAACATTCTATTGACAGAATGCAAATTAGCATCATCAAACAGGTGAGGTTGTGCAAGGTGTAACTTAACAAAGACAACTAAACAAATATGGTAAAATATCTAAAACATGAGACACATCTCAACATATATGACCAAGGTCCCAGCTAGTCTACATCAGAAAAGTTTGGAAAACATGCTCTTTCAAGCAGACTCAGGAAAATCAAATCCTACCTTCTTTATGTACAAGAAGTATTCATATATTTCTAGGTTAATATCTTAATGGAGAAAGGGCATACCTTTTGACATCTCATAACCTTCAAGTGAATATCGATTACAAAGTTCATCAACCTTCTCTGAGTAACCAGCTTCCATTGCTAAATAAACCTTAAGATTAAGAAATTAACACTGTAAAAACAACTGCATAGCTATAAAAAAATGACTAGCATGGATAAAAATGTGTTCCCATCACATTTTAAGCCTGGCAAGAAAAAAAAAGGACAAAAATACTTAAATCCGGACTCCTCTCTTGTAAAATTCCAGAGCCATAGAAAAAATACCATCAATTATCACTTGCTTGATTAATTTCAACCTAACCCACCTCATGTTCTATTAGATCCAGCAACTGTTTGCGAAATATTCAAAAGAAGCCAAAGAAATGAAGCCAAGTCTAAATAGTACAGCGACCATAGATGTGAGTTTGGACAGAGAAGAAAGAAAGTATCAGAAGTTTCTCTTTTTTTTTTTTTTTTTTTTTTTTGCAGAACCACATCTCGAGCGGTCTTGAGAATGCATAGCATGATCAGGTTCACTGTATACCCATTTGAATAAAGGAAGTTTTAAGCAAATGAGAAGTGAAAAGAGTTATTTGAATCTTCAGCTAGCCTGATTACTGCTATGCTTTAAAATCCTGAACCTATTAGCACTACATGCTAGAAAACTGATAATTAATAGGAGACGTAGTAGGAGATACCGTTTCATTCTAGAAAACCAACTTTTGTTTTAACTTTATATCAAAAATAAAACCATGAAAAATAAGTTTAAGAGCACATAATTAAAACATTACTCAGGGTTCAGTCTAATCCATCTTAAATAAATGCAAGAACCTTTAGCCATTCAGGAAGACCAGCCAAACATCTTAATGTGCACTAGAAATTGAACAGGCATAAAACAGAAATCTTTAAAAATGAAATAAAATGTCAACAATCTACCTTGGAATGTTGCATCAACTTAAGTTAAAGTAAACCAAGGAATCGTCCTTAGAAGATATAAAAGAAACTCTCTTACCAAATAGTATAGTAGTTGTCGATCACCATTTGTCTTGGCTTCGGCAACATCCCAGCATGCTTTTTCTGCCAGATTCTTGAGTAAACTACATGTCAAGAAAGTGCTGTTATCATTCCCCTTGATCTTTTTATGTTGCACGAGGTGAAGTTGTGGAGCTTAATTCTAAAACCATAACATAAACGAAAAACAAATAAATAAAACTGAAGACATGAAGCTACTTTTCTTTGCACTTGTGATAAATTTCAGGAAAATCCTGCCGGAGATTGTTTTTCTTTATAGTCTCATAAGCATTCTTTAGCAGGTTCCTTTTAGAATACTCCTCAACCAGTTCACATAACATTGGCTTCCCCATAAAAGTCGCCCACTTCTCTGCTGCTCCGAATTCTTTCTTCTGTATCATTTCGAGGAAAAAAGACCGCCCAGACTGTCGGATGGAAAATCGTTCTAATAGTGTAACTGCTGTCATATATGACTCTGAATCTATCAATCCTGAAATATACTGCTCAACAAACGCTTTTGCACTGTCAAATCTACAACAGTTCTGAGCTTGTAATTGGCAAATGACTTCATCAATGCTTGACAAGTCAATGTCAAAAGTTTCAACTATCTTCAAAGTTAGCCTTTCATCATGGTCAAGAGTGCCTCCTGCAATATCTACAAATAATTGGGCAGCTAATTTTTTTGCCCTCAAAGAATCTGTAGGTGATGTTGCTGACTTAAGGAACCGACGAAGCGCAGATATAATCAAGTGACTGAAGCCTTCAGAATACACTCCAAATATAGGAAGAACATAGAGACATTGAACAACAAAAGTAGCAGCCCCAGGCTGTGGCGCATTAAAAAGTACTTGATGGACTTGGTGTTGGAGAGCGCAGAATTTCTTTTTTGCCTTACATGTGCCTGCAAATAAATTCATCAGTAAACAAAAAGACTGAAGAAAGCAGTGAGTGAAGTACCAGAAATGCCAAAGTTCTAATGTGAGATAGAAAAATTTCACTCCTCCAAAGGCTAAAATTCAGAAAAATAGAATGAAGGAGATACCTTTTCGATATACTTCATTTTATTACAGAAGAATTAGCTTTTTTTCTGACAAACTATTTACAAAAGAGCTAGACTAAAAGAAAAGAGCATTATGCGAGAAAACAGTAGGAGAGGCTGTGGATGAAAGAAAGAGATACCATGAATATAACATTCCTTCAGAAGGTAAATAAAAACAACTGGAGAAATATAGGTCAGATCAGAAAAGGCATGCACAGAAAGAGTCCACGCACGGCAAGTTTCCATTTCACTATGCTGTTCTCTGAGAACTTCTTCTTCCAAGCCCATGAGAGCAAGATGCAACAGTAATCCTAATAAAAAAAAAAAAGAACAAACAAACAAACAAACAAACAAATAGGATTAAAGAGTCTTATACCAAATTATCTCATGGAACATGTAATTTTTGGACAATTATCTCAATGATTAAGACTAACAATCTTGTATACGAAAGATAATCTCTGAGATACCAAATGCAGTACCAATCTAAGATCAAGAACTCTCTCATAAAAGGAGTTGAAACACTGACAATTAAAGAGCTAATCTGGAAGAAGAAGGCAAAAGATTAATAACTTCAACAAACATAAAGAAGTCCAGCTACGTGGCAATTGAACTTTGAAGTAATACCTGCCGAACATGGAAACAAGAGAGTATCAGCCCAACAAATCTTGACAACTAATAGACACTCTTTTTGAACACCTACAATATCATAGACTGTATCAGCTGATTCTCTGATATTCACCTCAACCCTGCTTAAACTCAAGGAAATACTCAAATAACATAAATTAGCAAGCAAAGCAGCATCTAAGCATAAACTTAAGCGCTTCTCCACCCAGCCACTGACCAGATTAATTGCTCTTTTAGCCAGAGTACTAATGGAAGAATTGACTCTAACTAAGCAGCTATTCTTCTGATTTCTCTACGTACCAAGATTACTCACCACCACCAGTTTGCCTGAAATAGCATGATTGCCTACGCACTCGAGGTACTCTTTTATTGATTCCTAGAGAGCTGAACAGAAGTAAGTTAGGTACATTGAGAGATCAGGTACCTCTCCTACCTCAAGAGTTTAATATTGGCTACACACCAGAAACTCGGACACCTCCAAAGCATATAAATCGCATATGGAAGCTGACTGTGCTATCACTTTCTTTTCTTTAAAGTTTTCGCAGCAACCACACAAACGGCACATGTACAGTTTACCACATATGATAAATGCACTAACAGCATCGATATAAACAAAAACGATATTAAACATAAAAGGAGTAAGCCGCTCTAATGAGAACCAAAGGCGAACTTACCAAGCAGTTAAACTAGAGCAACAGTTTTAAGCACTTGGAGAAACTTGAAACTTACTATTTTTAACCTGTTTGGTTATAAACCAAATGAATGAAACAAGAGCAAAGCAAGCTCAACCAGAAATCCTGATAACTTGGAGCTTGAAGAGGCAGTGGAAAGATTAGAACGAATAAGCAACTCAGTTATCAAAAGAAACTGTTCAATTTGAAACGGGATAAGGTCCTTGAGAAGTATTTAACAAAAATCTTGCGTTCTTTACATTCGTTTTCTCAGCAACCAAGTAGCGTAATCCTAAATTTTGCAATTGAAGCATCAAACTTACTTCAAGAAATATATTTCCGTTATCCTCTCCCTCTCGGTTCTCTGTCATCCGGAGTCTGAAACTGCAACTCTGCAATTCCATTAGAAATAAATATTGCATTCAAAAGTAATTTGTACTTTTAAAAAAACGCAAAAAACAAAAAAAAAAAAAAAAAAGAGAAATAAATGGTCCAGTCTAAAAAGGGCAATGTTACGGTGGTCGTTGGCCCACCAGATCTTAACCCAAAATGTCAAATTTGTTTTTCTCTCTAAAAACCGAGCAAGCCTCCTGTCTCATTCACCACTCTGGCGTGAGACTAATCTGCGCACAGTGCTACAGTGCGCACAGATTTTTTGGGTAAAATTTTCAAGCTTTCTACTAAGAATCAGATTCAGATCGATACTAATTATTCGACTAAATAACAGATAGTCGAATCGAACGTAGTTTCTGAATTTCAGTTCGATTAACGAAATGCTGGCAGCTTATCTTTTGAACATTTTAAAATAGGGAATAGGCCTCTTCTTCATAAATTTGTGCTGTAAAATCAAATTACTACGTGCTGTAATGCCGTGAAAATATTACCCCAAAGGGAGAGCTTGGTTAAATTTGTAGATTCATCAGTAAAGTAGAGACTGCTGAGTTATTATCTCTGAGAATCTATGGTATGGAAGTGACTTCTTTTATGGGGTATTATTCAAATTATCTTGCAGGGATACACGCGCACAGAGATGATCTTTAATTATGTTATTCTTATACTCTAATGCAATCCTCATTCTTTTATATATTAGAGAAAGATCCTTTTATGACCCATCTTCTTCACTGTAATATTTACCTTATGATTCTTGTAAAATTTATGATAAACCATTGTTTACCAGTTAAGGAAATACTGTTCTTGTTCATAGTCTACTAAAATTAATGATAACACTCAAAACTCAAATGAGAATATTATGCCATTCTGAGTTATAGATATTCTTAACATAATAATTCGCATTCCCCTGCTATTATATCCTTTTTATACGAACTCAACGCACAATTTGATCCGCACAAATTTATGGTTGCGAAAGCCGATTTCCATATGCACCCAAATAGGCAAAAGCCTTAAATCTGGAAAGCACAATACTTCCGCCACAAATCTATAATACTTCACACGGTCGTTCAATAATTTTATAATAAATACTTAACATTGTTTGTAAACCGCAAGATACGAAGTAATAACCATACAAAAGTTGCTGAATTACTAAGAGATATTTGAAAGTTATGTAAAGACACAATGCCTCTAAGTCAGCCATAAAAGAACCCATATTGATACTTAGTATTGGTACTGCAGAAAATTATCGGCCAACCTTACCTTCTATGACAGAGGGGTTCAACCACAATGCATTTTTATCTTTACCCTTTTGATGATGAATGTCTTGAACCGAATTCCAACAGCTATGCAACATCGTGACATTGCGGCGAATTGATTTTTAACCAAGGAATTGTAAAATTTTTTGTAGGCAATAGGTGCTGTTAATGCTTTGTTGCCGTCAGAAGTAGTACATCTAGAAACAAACATAGAGGCTTTCATAATGAACAGAACAATCTTACTAAATAAACCTGTCTCTGGTGTCCACTCCTGCCTTCACTTACAAATCAACATGACATGGCTCTCCGTGGAACACTGCAATTTGCAGACCATGTTACCGTACACCAGATGTAGAGACCAATAATTCAAGCTTTCATCAGACCTGATTCAAAATTTGCCAGTCACTGATATGTCAAATACACAAACAGGTGAAGCACATGTCTGCCGCCTGGGAGATACTTCAGAACAAGACCTGCACAGAAATTAATCAATGAATGGCGAAAAACATTACAAGCTCATAGGATTTCAGTTATCTAGGTTCAAAGTATAATGCTTATAAATAGCACTACCCAAGCCTGAAAATAATGAAGACAAGGCATTTTGCATTGTGAATCTAGATCTTTCAATCTTACTAAGAATTTACCTGGCTGATGCCTTGAGCGAGGGTATACTGGGAACTTACTACAAAACAAAGCCACTAAGGTCATGGTGCCTGCAGTTAAGTGACACTGAGAATAAATCATTCAGAATTTTGTTGACTGGATCACCAGATCCGAGCACAGGACTGCATATAAGTAGCAACAAAATAAAGATTTTATCACTTAAAAGGATCCAAAGACAGATGTCAACAAATTGAAAAATATAAAACAAAATGAATCAACATGAAATCTCAAACATCTTTCTACTTGGAAATTTACAAAAATGAAACCATTCAGTTTGAAAAACAAAGAGCCACTAATCAAGTCAAATGATGGGTCTTTCCTGAAAGTTTTACATTGAATATGACGATCCGACTAGTTATTCAAATAAGTTACCTTTAGGAACCACTAGTACTATTATTGGTATGTCTTGGGACATGAGAGAAATAACTGATTAATCATTCACTTTTATTAAACAGGACTTTTTGCACCTTTTTTCTTTCTCTTTTTGCTTCAAGAAACATTAGGAAGCATGAAATTCTATTAATTCAATAGCAACCGAAGTAAATTTCAAGGAAAAACAGAGATAGAAAGCTATAAAGACAGGAGAGAACCCTGACATCGATCCCAAAGGTCATAAAAGTCTATTTTAAAGGTTTCATTTAAAAAAAAAAACAGCCTAAAATAAAGGTAGAATATAAACCATGAGAAGTATGCTTATCAATGTCATGAGTAAGGCCAATGAAATACACATATTAGGATGTTCCACAAGACAACTTGACAATAGAATAAATTTATCGAATCAACCATGAAACTCAGTTCCCATGAAAAAGAATAATACCAACATACCAAGTAACTTGTTTCTTAAGTGTATCAAATTAAAACCATCTATGCCACCTGGTATATAGAATGGCTGACATCTCATCCACAACCAATTTCGTCATTCTCATTATTCTGAAGTTAAAATCAAGAAGTCCTGCTTGAAAACCTGCGAGTGTAAATTATAGCAACTACAAGGATAGATTTTGCAAATTCTTGGTGAAAATGAAAAGAGAAAAAACCAACATTCATAAACACAAAACTACCTTCTTAAAATGTTCTAACTCTTGCATTAATTCTGTCTCAATGATCTCTACCACAGGTTGTTTGGAACCAGGCAAAAGAAATTGGTCTTCAAGTTCCTTAAACACCTGCGAAGAAAATCTTTAGCACAAGGATGTGTGCCTTAGGCAGCATTCATAGCCTATTACACTAGGAGCACCAGCAGAGCAAACTCGAGCATAGCTAAAATTAAAATGAAACCCCAACATAATTACCATTACATCACTCTTTCAACATGAAACTTGTACTCATAACAGTTAAAAGTGGAAAGACAATGGAATTTTTCCATGCAATTGGCTAAGGTATTGGAAATGGAGTTGTCCAGGTATCACAAGATATCGCTACATTCAACCTGACAACTTCCCTCTGCCCCCTCAATCCCTTTCTATTGCCAGTAATTTTGCTCACCATGCCATCTATCATACACACATTAGTTTTTAGGCCAGATGCTGTGGGGATAAGACCTCAAATTCCTTCGTACATCATTCATTAAATAGTTGCTTTTGGATATGTACCAGTGATAACCACACTTCTGAAGCTATCTTTTCAATATTAATTCAAATACCCCACTATCAAAATTAAGAAATTAGAACTGACATACCAATTTGAAACCTTGGCAAGATTGTGAAAATTTCATTTCTTGGAAGTTCACGCATTTGCTCTGCTGTAATATAAAAGACATGCGTATAATTACACAAAGAAACCTGAATTTCAGCTTAACCTGTGATCAAATATGAAACAAGGAAAATATGTTAAGAACATAATGAATTACTTTAGCACCACCAAGAAAGGCCAAACATGTTAACTACCTCATTAGGAAAATCATTCATAGAAGGATGATCAAACTTTGGAAATTTCTTCCTGTGATGTCTTGCAAGAAGAGCTATAATCTGTAAATTGAATGGCGGAAAAATAAAACTGACCATCTTTTGCCATGAGTATGCTGAGGGGAGGGCATAATTGATGTGTTTTGACATTAGAATACTAAGAAAAGAGGGCTATTAAAGTGTAGATATTATACCTTGAGCTCCTCACCACTGTATTCATTAAGATGATCACCATTCTATATAAAACAGATCACGGTGATTAATAACGAATTTAACATAACTGAAGCAGTGCTTCATGCAAGAAGTTCAAAACTTCTATAATTCCCTAAGCCATTTTTTTTCTCCTATGAACCTACAATGTGCCGTTTCTATGCATATTCAAATAGCATAGCCTTGCCCACAAACTATTTTCCTAAAGCTACGTTTGGGACAAATCCAAAATTGGTGCATAATTTATGGACAAAATACGGATTTATGTCAACAGGAAGATTTAAATGGATAAGGATTGAGTTCATTTGGAATTGGAACAATATATTTTCTGAAGTGCATTAATTTTGTGTAATTTGAAATGTCTTATATAATCCATATGAAATTCTATATTTATTCAAATCTTTTTATCACCCTAATACAATTTACACCTACTCCTAGTTAAACTAAAGATGTAGACTTAAAAATGAATTCCACATTATTCTGGGATTTGTTCAGAGAATAACCTAAGTTTACGAGTCTCTACATGACTCAATTTCCATGAGTTGCCTTTTACAGCAAGCCCTCAACAATTATTGTGGTTGTATTACCATATTCTGAATACGAATGAAAGCTCATGAAGGAAAAGAGAGCGCTGCACCCACCATAATAATATGATAAGATTGCTTGTGGTAACCCTTTTGACCTGTGAAGGCCCCTATATTGTGAAGCAAACAAGCAGCTTCGAGACATTCAAGGTCCTTTGCATCCAAGGAGACTCTAAATTTAACTTGATTATTAGCAAGCTCATTGGACTTTCTAATTCCTTCAAAAATTTCCTGTAGCATATTCAGAAAACTACTTTACAATTTGAGATAAACATGTCCGAAAGTATGAAGACCTAAAAAGTTCAATATACCCTTGCGATCCTGGCACATTGTGCCGCAGCTTTCATCCTTTTCTTGCTGTTGAACCTAGTAGCAAGTCGTACAACAGACTGCCACCTGGCATTGGCATTCAACTCATTGCCATCGAAAACGTTAGCCAAAGTCTCAGCTATGACACCCTCACCCAATGCATATCCAGAAACCACCATTTCCTCAATGTCAAGAACTTCAAATATCTCCTCCAACAAAACTGCACCAGCAACAATGAACTCTGATCTCCTCTTGAAAAACCCATTTCTCCTGATAATTTCTCCCTCTCCTCCTCCTCCTCCTCCTCCTCCTCCACATAACCTTTCTGCAACACTTCTCAATTCTCCTCTATTAAACCTCCAATCCCTCTTACACTCCCCAACAGGCACCTCATTATCAGAGGCTATCTCTCTCGCAAACCCGTGAAAAACTGCCTTCTCAATAGCTCTTATCGTACCAGAAGACCCAACAGCAACATCAAAACCACCAAGCTCCCTCACTTTCTCGACCAACCCCGATTCCTCAAGAACCATCCTGATATGCTCCCTCATTCTCAGCATTTCATCGCCATTTTTAACAAATTTCTGAGTTAGAATCACATGACCCAACAGCAAAGAAACCGCAAATTTCACTTTACCGTACTGCCCTATAACAAATTCAGTAGACCCACCTCCTATGTCCACAGTCAACACACGATTTTCATAAATCGGCAAAAACTGAAGCACACCCAGATAAATTAACCTTGCTTCGTCTTCGCCGGACAATACATCGACGTGGAACCCGACGTCCTCAAACACAGACTCGACAAACTCTCTCCTATTTTCGGCTTCTCGTACTGCTGCGGTGGCTACGCAGCGGGTTTGTCTGGGAGGTACATTGTGAGAGAGAATTAGGCGCTTGAATTTTCGCAGGGATTGAAGAGCACGGAGCTGGGATTGGGCGGAGATAGAACAAGAAGACTCGCGAGATAAGACAACGGAATCTTTGAGCTTGTCTATCACAAAAAACCTGCCAGAGTGATCTGCACGGACTATGATCATCTTGAAAGAATTAGTGCCCATATCAACGGAGGCGAATAGGGCTTCCGGCGAGGCATTTGCTTCTAAATGGAGACTCGTGCTCATCGTTTCTTCTACTTCTCTGGGAGATCGACCTCCCTCGCGTAAGAAGAAAGCCATTAGCTTTGTTTTTCTTCAAAAGCACGCAGCGCTGTTAAAATGTAAAAAAAATAAAATAAAATAAAATACATAATGCTTTGAGCAACCGGGTAAAAAAAGTAAAAATTCACTTTTGTTTTTAACAATAATAAAATTTAAAATAAATAATAATTTTAACGAATATATTTATTTTCATTTTTATTTAAAATTGTATTAAAATTAGACATAGAAATCAAAGTTTAACATACGATTGTAATAAAAAAATTTATTTTTTTATAAAATATAATTTAAATACAACATAAATAAATAATAACATGTTAAAAATACGTCCTTTTATTTTTATTAAAAAATTAATAAACTAAAATCAGAATAATAATTTAATCAAAATAATTCAAAAATTAGTATTATATTTAATTCAGTTAATACCGTTTATCTATTTATTATTACTTATCATAGAAAAATATAAATATATTTTAATATATTATTTATTTATTTTTAAATGAAAGGTATAAATATTCCTTGAAATTTCCAATAAAAAGAAAATTTCCCTGAAAATCACTCCTTAGAAAGTTTTGTGGACCGCCCACCGGCTGTTACCGCCTCCTCCTCCCCCTGCCCTGACACGAACATTGACTGCCGATACATGCGGCTGCAACCTCCTCCACAAATTTGTAATAATTAATTTTCCAAAATAATTAAAATATTATTTATATATATAAAAAAAAAAGGTCACCCTTTTAAAAAATACTTTATAATATAAGCAGAATTTTGTTATATAAAAATTTAATTCAAAGTCAAAATACTTAACGTCTTGGAAGCCGTTATCTAACTTATAGTGGACATGGGCATACCATTTTATACATAAATATTTATATTGAAACCTTATATTATATTACCATTGATTATGCATCAATCAATTCGTAGCCGTTATCTAACTTCACAGAATTACTTGGAAAATCGACGAACATTTGTATATATATATATGTGCGTGTGCGTATGTATGTATGTACGTATATCATATGCACATGATAATTATGGAATAATATGTTGTTGGGAGCTCAAAACGGTGCACTTCATTCAGTATCCGCGGCAGATTTTGGAGACGGGGGAAGTAGGACCCACTCGCCACCAACGCGTTAGTGCATGACTTTAGTCTACTTGTAATTTTCCGACAAACTTCTCGTAACCAATTACTAAACGCCACGTGTCGGTCTAACGTGTCGTCATTCGTTATAATAATAATTATTAATATTTTAAATATAAAATTAAAATAAAGAGTTTGACATTTATACACTTTTATCGCTGAAGGAAATATATTTTAATGGAAGTAATTAAATTATTTAGTTTCGGAAGTTCAGTAATTTGAGAAATTCTAATTTTCTTTTTGCAATATATAAGAACGGATTTTTTTTTTTTTTTTTTTTGCAAATTTGGGACGATAATTTAATTTATATTAAAATTATGTTATTAGATAATTTAATTTAATTATATATATACATTTTTAACTTCTCTCTGTTTGATTTTGTTTTCTTCGCCAGTTCGTTCCAAAAGGACAGAAATGGCGGATGCATTGTCAAGATTACCATCGGTACGCGGTTTAATTGGTTTGTTGCCTTGAATGTCAACGTTAAAGGAGAAAATTACTAAAATTTTTTAATTAATTTTGAATTGTTTTTTTTTTAAATATTCTTCTTCTCTGTCTGCGTCCCAGTATAACTCAGCGAAGACGACAAAGTATCGCAGCCAAAAGGCGTAGATTTCATTTTAGTTCTTTGTGCATATAAAACTAAGAAGAAAATACTGTGCAGCTCTGTTACTTTTTGAGCTTTTTATCGAATTTAGTCTTGAATATTTTTTTTCTTCTTTCTCCGGGGACATAACCGCGTTTAATTTTAAATTATTTTTTCATACTTCTACCGAAGCTTCTCCGCAGCTTCGGGTTATGGTGGGGTCAATCTCTTTTGCTTCATATTCCTATTTAAACAGAGACAAGGGCTGGCTTGTTCGTTACACTTCTTTTAATTCTCATAATTTTGTCTGGGTTTGAGGACGCCAAGGTACGGTTTCATTTTCGAGTTTGAGCTCATGCAATATGGTTCCAAAGAGGCCTTTCAATGGAGATGCTGACAACCGTTTGGGGGTTCTTTTTCAAGGGTCGAAAAGAAGACATACATTCAACAAGTGGGTTGTTTCTGGTTCTCGATAACGGAATTTTTTTCCATTTTTTTTATTTCTAGGTTTGATTTTGATTTTTGGGTTCTGTTTTCTTGTTATTTGCAGTGTTGATTTGGAGGTGATGAAAGGGCTTTCATTGGATGAAATAGTGGCTAGACTTGAGCCCCTTTTTAGAGCAGTGGTGAGTTCATGATTCTTTTTCTCCGTTGTTTTGCTGACGGGTTAGGTTTTGAAAAGCATGATTTGGATTTTGGCTTGATTTGGAAGTACTTATTTGTTTTTACTGTGGGAAATCTGCATAGTTTATTTTGTTCGAGTAAGTACCTGTTTATTATTTCGTCATCACTTTTTTCCGTATATTTGCTTTGTAGAGGAACAAAAGCCTCTTATTAATATGTGGTTGGTCCAAAATTCCTTGGTTGAGTTTAGTTACTGCCTTACTTATGGCTTCTTCTCCATAATCTGCTGATAATACATGGCACGATCATGATATAGTCTGGATCTATATCAAAGTTATTGTTGAAACTAACTATCTTTTTCATGTTTGTCATAAACATAAGATTGATTAATTCGAATTCATAATATCTGGCCATATATTGGATTCTACGTTTATGTTCATTGCTGCAAATATCTTTGTTGACTAGGTGCGAGAGGAGGTGGAAAGAGTAGTTCTGCCCCTTATTCAACAATCTGAGAGGTTAGTTTTAAAGTGATTGACAAAGGGATCTTCTTATCTTGATGTAACCGATTGTACACTTCTTTTGAAGTATTTCTTGTAGGTAGCTATTGTTGTCTTCTTTCAAGCCTAATTTATCCCCTTAACGTGTGTTAACGTTTGTCATCTTTATGCTTCAATTTTCACTCAAATTCGAGTGGACTTGTTTTCAAAATCCCGCAGTGAAGAGTGCTGCAATCTAGGTTATAACATGTGCTGTTTGGATTTTCTCCCCAGATTGTCTTTTTGCAATGCTTTGTTAGCCTGAGTCTAAAACTGGTTTTTGTGGTGTTGATTATGGCAGACCGCAGATGAATCAGACTGGGGCATCTACGGGAAGAGGTTTGAGGTTACGTTTTGTAAATAAATTGCCTCACACCATCTATACGGAGAGTAGATTAGAAGCTGAAGATCGCTCCCCGGTCCAAATTGAACTAGTTGATGCTAGTACCAACCGTAGAGTCGTGTCTGGTCCCTTGTCTTCCATTAGGATTGAAATTCTAGTCCTTGATGGTGATTTTGGAAAAGATGGCCAAGAAATATGGTCAGAGCAGGAATTCAATTCAAAAGTTCTTCGTCAAAGAGAAGGTAAAAAGCCATTGCTTACTGGGGATCTCAATGTAACGCTGAAAGAAGGACTTGGTTGCATTGGTGAGGTCGTATTTACGGACAATTCTTGCTGGATGAGAAGCAGAAAGTTCAGGCTAGGTGCTAGGATTGTGCAGAGGGTTTCAGGTGAAGTGGGGATTACTGAAGGTAGAAGTGAGGCTTTTGTTGTCAAAGATCACCGAGGAGAAGGTCTGAAAACTTAAAACTTCAGCTTAGTTGGCTGTTTTGATTCTTTGAAACAGTTTTCAACTCAAAACTAACTTGAAGTTTGGTCTTTCAGTGTACAAGAAGCATCATCCCCCAGGAGCTAAAGATGAAATATGGCGATTAGAGAGGATATCAAAAGGCGGTGTCCTCCATAAACGGCTAAACTCTTACCATATTTACACTGTCAAGGACTTTGTAAGGTTGTTTATGGCCAACCCGACAGGCCTACGCAAGGTAAGAACATTATTTTTGTTAAATCTGACATATCAGCTTCTTAATTTGTTAGGATTTCTACTACTAATATGTTAATTTAGTACAAACTGTATTTCTCAGTTGATTGATTTTGGCATTGAAAACCTTTTGGATATCAGATGCTTGGCGGAGGAATCTCGAACAAGATATGGGATATGATAACAGAACATGCTTTGTCTTGTGTTTTGGAGGAAGAAGAGCTTTACACTTATTATGAAGCTGAACATGGGGTTTATCTCCTTTTCAATTCCCTCTTTAAGTTCATAGGAGTATATTTTAATGACCAAAGCTACCAGTCTGAGGATAAACTGAGCCCTCGTCAAAAGGTTTGGTTTCCTTTCCTAAACTTCTAGTATTATCCAGATTTGTTCCCACTATTATCAAAATTGGATCAGAGTCTTACAATTTTTGATTTCATGCTAAAGATAAAATATTAGAAGTCCTTATTAATTTGTCTCTTAGTCACCAATTATAGCGGTTGCAAAGTTTGCCAATAGCTCATATAGTAACCAAAATGAGACACAGCACATAGAGACTTACTGAAGTTCACACATGGCTGCTGCATCTGATTGTAACTAATCAACTTTTTATCGAATTGGCAGCTAGTGGTGGAAGATTTGAAGCGCCGAGCCTACGGGAATGTAAATGCCTTGGTTAGGATTGACAGGCGTGCAATTGTTGGCCCTTCGGAGTCCCTGACAAATCCACAAGATGGTTCAGATTTGAAGCACACTGACTGCTCAGTTATAGACCAAGGTATTAGAACTTGTATGCAAAGAAAATTATGTGGCTACATCAGTATAGGTGGTATTGCAATTTAATGATAATTGTTTATGCAGATCAATCAGAAACCCAACTGAATGTTGATCGGTCATCAGCTTCAACATCACACACCTATGAAGCAGACAGTAGCCAACAAACACAACTTTCTCTTTCCCAGAATTATCATCCAATGGATCCTTTCATGCCAGTATTTCGAAACAGCTTCAGATTCGAGGAATTCTTACCCATACCTCATGACAAAGACAATGTTTGGCTGCTGGATGGTTCAGTTGCTGCTGATCAGGATGTTGTTCAGCCACATATATCTGCAACATGGACCCCTTCCATTCCATCGTGGGAGCAGGGGGATGATCTTTTTTTCCCCCCTATCAACGAATCAGATACCAGCTTCATCATCCCTCCTTTACCTACAAATATCGGTATACATGTTTCGAGGATCATAAGACCTCGAGCAGGGTGGTGCAAGATTCGAGCTGCACTTGTTATGCGGTCTGTTTGGCGATGTGCAGCTGCCAGAAGAATGGGTTCGGTTTCTTGTTAAATAGACTATTTGCCTAGTGTCGGGTATCTCTTAATTTAGGAGGTCAGGCTATAACAGGGCTCTAGATTTGTCAGTTTAGTGTTGTAAATTGATTTGCTTTCCCTCCGTGCGTGAGTGGCATAAGCTCGCACAGCATTTCGTCGAGGTTTGCTACTCGATTCCGAGTGTTTGCGATCATAAGCTGCTATCAGCTAAATAAGTAGAGAAAAGCAGCGCAGGCTTTTGTACATAATAAAAATCACTAGGTAGTAATCGTTGGCAATCAGGAGTAAAAAATTTGCTCCTAGATTGTGTACAGCTTAGTGTTGTTCAGAAAATTCTCCGTCTTTCCCTTTATGAGTGAGTAAATTTTATTGTGTTACATATAGTCATAAAATTTTTAAGTTATTATCAATATATATATATATATATACATATTGCTTAAAAAACTAAACATTAAAATTTAATATATAGTTTTATATTAAATTATAACCATGGTTATAATTTTTAAATCATATATTTATTGTATTACGTAAAAAAAAAAAATTGTTATAAATTTAAGTATATTTTTATTTTTATTTTTTTAATTATTTTTTTTATAATTTTTTAAAATTTTATAATTTATATACTCGGATTATTTTGATTGGTCGAGAGAGAATCTTATTCCCCCCTCCTATAAAAAAAATGTTAATAGTCAAACAACTATTAAAAAAATATCTGGTGAGCTGATATTTTATTATTATATCACATGTAGCAATTGCACTAATTTAATGAAATTAATATTTATTACAATATATATTTATCTCCAACGCTATGGCACCTACCGTAAATAATCCCAAATACGGTGTCGTTTATAGTTCCGACCTACGAAAATATCTGGCTCGGTAGCCTCTTCCCCCGAAAAAGGAAAAACCAAAAAATTCCTCAATACGGAATACTCTGGAACTTTCGTCCCTATATATTTCTTCCTCCAAGTCTCCCAGGATATTTTCTCTCTGCAAGCCAATAAAACTACCATTAACCTCAACCTCCTAAACGCAAATCGCAAGGAGTTTTGTTCTCTGTCACTGTTGTTTCTCTCTTCTTTTGCCCCTCCGCTCGGGCGTTTCTTGTTTTCGTGGGTTTTTCTTTTTCGTTTTCAACCTATGGTGGGATTTTAAGGAAGCGTTCGGTTGTCCTCTCTCTTTTCTTTTTTCTTGGTTCTTGAAGAAGTAGTTAAACAGAGGGAGAGAAGGGAGTAACTCGGGAATGGATCGAGAAGGAGGATCCAACGGCGGATCTTGCTACTACTCTGTTCTCGGGATTCGCAAGGACGCCTCCTTCTCCGATATCCGCACTGCATATCGCAATCTCGCCCTGGTAATTGATTGATTTCTTTTTGAAGAGAAACTTGCATGATTGCTTTCAATTTTCGGTTTCGTTTCTGTTTTTTTCTCGAGCAAAAACGGTACGATTTGGTTTATCCTTCAGCTGCATGTTCTGATCCTCTGTTTTCCTCGGCGGAAAAATGCTATTGACTTTTACTTTTTCCTTTAGATTTAAATTCCCTCCTACGCATTCCATATTAAACGATGCGTTTCTGTCTGCAGAAATGGCACCCTGACAGATACGTTAGAAACCCTGCGCTAGCCGGTAAGGCCAAACGCCGGTTCCAGCAAATCCAAGAGGCTTACTCGGGTAACGTTATATTTTTCTCTTCCCCCCTCTTTAATGCCGTTAAATTTTACTTCTCACGTTCTTCCCGCCTGGCAGAAGGTTTGTGTTAACGGACTCTAACCCATCTCCTCTGTTCCTTTTTCTAAAACAGTTCTTTCCAACGAGAGCAAAAGGTCAATTTACGATGCCGGGCTCTACGATCCTCTCGACGAAGAAGACGAAGTCCGTACAAAACCCTCTCTTCTCTTTTTCCTCTTTAAATAGTCTTTAAAACAGCGTCGGTTGCTCATCTCGTCCTTTTCTCTAATTGGCCACTCTAATTTTCAAAAATTTGCTATCGTAGTCCTGAAGTTTGCATAATTGCGTGAACAGGACTTCTGCGACTTCATGCAAGAGATGCTCTCCATGATGAACAATGTGAAAGACGAGGTATTATCACCACACTCTGATAAATCTGTCGTCACCACCAAAATTAGCAACTTCCCGTATGTTCTCTGCAACTTGCAAGGGTATAACTGTACTTTCACTTTCTCAGGGAGATAGTTTTGAGGATCTGCAGAGGATGTTCGCAGAGATGGTCGGCGGTGGAGACGGCCGGAACTTTAACCTCAACGAGAATCCGACGGACAAGAAGAGACCGCGTGTCGACGTTCCAAAGGGTAATCCTGGCAAGCGCGCCGTATCTCGCCGTTGACGCCCGCAGCGGATCAGTCCGTGACGTTAAAATCTAATCGCCTGAACTAAAGGGTCTGGTTAGACTGGGATAAAAGGGACCGGGTCGGTTATAACGATGGTAAATGTAACACTTCTAGTTCGATGGGCATTTCTGGAAATTCACATGAATAAGTAATTGCTTGCCTTTTTTTTTTTTAATTACTTTTATGATATGCGGTGACTTTATTTACTGGATTTTACTGTTTGTTTTTTACTATAAGCTATTTACTATAAGATATTTTCAAGTTATTTGAGTGAAGGTGAATCTTTTGTCTGGTGAAATTGGAGGTGCTTGCGTTTTATGCACACCACCGACGCGTTTAGACAATAAAAGTAAGTAGATGTCACCATTATAAGCCATTATCATAAAATATAATGTATGAATAAAAAAAACAAAAACAAAAACATGGGCGGCCAAAGAGATTCATCCGTACCATATCTATACATCATCATTAATTATGATATCACAAAACAAAAAAAAAAAAAACTAAAAATTCCCAAAACATAATTTAGTAACTTAATGTTTTAATAATCATTATTTTAATATATAGTTTAATTTATTTTTAAAATATATTAATTGATTTCATGTCACCTTTTAATTAAAAAATACCCCGTAGAAACAAAAATATTTTATTCCAAAGTTAATATTGTATAATAAATCCACGAATTTTGGATTTATTACGGTAAAAAAAATATGTTCTTCACGTTATTGGTAATTATTACGATTATTATACCATGCTTTATCAGTTCATTTCCATATATTATCGGTACAATACACAAATTATAATTTATAAATTTAATTATATAGTATATAAAATTGTAATAAACTAAATTAAATTTTATTTTAAAAATATTATATAATGTATTTCAGAGTGCTGCGCGTGTGTGTGATTGAAGGAGAGATCTGTTGTCTTTTATTCAGCAGGCTGTTGTTGCGCTGTCGTTTTGAAGGGATGTGTGTGCGCGCGCCTGTGCGGCACGTCTCGTGACTCGTCTTTCGTGCAACTTGCGTGTAAAATGGTTGTGACGTCACGATGACTATAAAAAAAAAAAATTTAAATCAAACTTTACGGATTAATTTATTTTTCTTTTAATTATTTTTACAAATTAATCAAATTTTTTAGTTCCACTATTTCCATCTATCAAATGCTATTTACAATAATCAAAATATACATAATTTATGGGTTTAGCAATAAATTTTTAATGGTAATACAATACATAACTTTTACATAATTAAGAAATATTTTTTATGTGGTAAATAGAATCTTAATATTTTTAGTTTTATTTTTAGTATATCATTCAACATTAGAAACTACAATAATTTCAATTTTTTTTTTTACAATATGTAGTATTATATATATATTTTTTGAATATTATAAAAATGATAAATTATAAAATTTAAAATAAATTTTAGAAAATATATTCTCAAAATATAAGAATATTAGTATTTTAATATATTATTTTAATTTATATTTATATTATTATCTAATAAATTTTGTTATATTTTTCAATTAAATTGAATACAAAAAGCGCCATAAAAAAATAGAGCACTTTTCCCTTTAAACACGAATTTAAAGCAGTGGCATTTTCGTAATAATCCAAGGATCCATGCCCATATCTGACGGCCCTCATTCTGTACGATGATATAAAAAAGCTTCTTCTTCTCCCCCGCACCCTTTCCGAACGACAAGTGAGTTTCTATTTAAACCCCAGTTGGTGTCTCTAGGGTTTCGCTCAATTTTCTCTCTTGAACAACGTTCCTTCCTTGCATTATTGTCCTATCGACTTCAAGCTTCCGTTTACCATGTCTTTGAGGCCTAGCGCGAGGACCGAAGTCCGGCGGAGCCGGTACAAAGTGGCGGTGGACGCGGAGGAAGGAAGGAGGAGGAGAGAGGACAACATGGTGGAGATCAGAAAGAACCGTAGAGAAGAGAGCTTGCAGAAGAAGCGCCGCGAGGGGTTACAAGCGCAGGCTATGCCTGCCTCAACTCACACCGCCTCTATCGAGAAGAAGGTATGGTCAAGTTTATTTCATTTCGTTTTTCCTAATTTTGAACTTATGCGGAGTTTGAATCATGTTCTGACTCTATATATCTTAGTAGGAATTTTTTTCGTGTTGATTTTGGTTGAATTGAGACAGTTAAATTTGGTTTTTATACTTCTTTGTAACAATTGAAATTGCAGTAAGGATTTTGTTGTAGGCATGACTGAACTAGTTGAAGCGATTAGAATTCAATGGATGCCTTGAATATCGAACTATTGTTTCTGTTGAAATGAGGTCCACCCCGATTGTCGATGTATTATATAGATTTTTGGATCACAAGATCCATGATGACATTATTGTTTGGTTGGAGAGATTGTCTGAGAGTTCATGTGGTGTTAAGAGTATTTGGCTCTGTGAGGTAGCTGCTTATTAGCAGCTTTAAGACACTGGTTAATTTTAATAGGCGTGTGACTTCTTTTCGAAAAAGAAGTATGTAATTTCTGGTAATATCAAGAGAGTGTTTGACTGTCTTACTAACTGCTTATATGCATATTACGTGTATAGGCTGCTAAGTACCTGACCTTTTATCAATATGCTTGAAATGATTATTTTTTCTCACATGCTAGTTAGTATATTTTTTGACCAAAATATTGTAGCAATTTGTTTGTTTGTACGAAGCATATTTTTTCAAGTGTAAATGCTTATTTTCCATCGAGAATCTTGGTTCATTAGATGCATTACTTTTAACAATTCCAAATATTTCTCGAGTATTTTAGCTTTTTTCTTTTCCTTCTTTTGCTGGATATCTACTTACTAGTTAGGTTGTTTACATTCTTCTCATACTGAATGATTGGCAATCAGTTAGAAACTTCATTATGCCAAATTTGGAATATTCTGTGATTTTTATGGCTTTGGAGGTTATGCTTACTTGAATAGTGTTGATTGCTGTAGTTGGAACATTTGCCAGCTATGGTTGCTGGTGTTTGGTCAAATGATGGCAATCTGCAGCTTGAGGCAACCACGCATTTTAGGAAGCTACTCTCAATTGGTTAGATATTAGCTGCCCGAAACACATTATTATGCTACTGTTTGCCTTCATTTAACTTTGATTTCTATAAACTCGATTTTCTCTTCCTTCTTCCTACAGAACGTAGCCCTCCCATTGAAAGAAGTTATACAAGCTGGTGTTGTTCCTCACTTTGTTGAGTTTCTTATGAGGGAGGATTTTCCACAGCTTCAGGTTTGCTAAAATTTCTATAATTCTGTCTAGCTGTATGTTTGCTAATTTCATTGACTTAATATTTTACTCTGTTGGAAAACAATTCTATAGTTTGAGGCTGCATGGGCTCTTACAAATATTGCGTCTGGTACATCTGACAACACTAAAGTTGTAATTGATCATGGTGCTGTTCCAATTTTTGTGAAACTTCTTGGTTCTCCTAGTGATGATGTTCGTGAGCAGGTTTGTACATGAAGAAGAATATGGATTCTTGAATTTTCACATGCCTTGATATTGTTAAATGTGTATGAATAAATTTCAACTAATATGTATTGTATCTTGAGTTTGCAGGCTGTCTGGGCATTGGGAAATGTAGCTGGTGATTCTCCTAGATGCCGTGACCTTGTTCTGGGACATGGAGCATTGCTTCCTTTACTTGCACAATTGAACGAGAATGCGAAGCTCTCTATGTTGAGAAATGCTACCTGGACACTTTCAAATTTTTGTCGGGGCAAGCCCCAGCCTGCATTTGATCAGGTTATATATTTCATATGTTATAGATGTCTAATTATTGGTTGTCTTTTTTGAGTACTGTTTGGTTTATCATCTTCCATTGTAGCTGTTTTATTGGTTTGCTTATTATAGCTAGTTATTGTACATGGTCATCTGAATATTATGAGAATTCTTGCTCTTTGGGTGTCGGCTTACGTAGTGGTTCATTCTTGTTACTTCGTCCCAGGTTAAACTGCACTTCCAGCTCTTGCACGTCTTATTCATTCCAACGATGAAGAAGTCTTGACTGATTCAAGCTGGGCACTCTCGTATCTGTCTGATGGTACTAATGATAAAATCCAGGCTGTAATTGAGGCAGGTGTTTGTCCACGGCTTGTGGAGCTTTTACTGTGAGTGTTTGTAGCTTTATTAGAAGTGACAATGTGATACTTTGTTTATTTGTACCAAATCCAAGTTCTTATTTTTTGTAGCTTTATTGCAGCCACCCATCTCCTTCAGTGCTTATTCCTGCTCTTCGCACAGTTGGAAATATAGTTACTGGGGATGATATGCAAACTCAGGTAGTGGATGATTTAAATGGATGATTCTAATGCTCTGTGTTAAAGAGAATTTAATCAATGAGGTTTTTTGTTGGCCTGACAAAATTCAGCTGCTTGAGTCTTTTAGTGCATTTCTTGGGAGGGTTTTTTAGTACATTGACCTGAAGTTTTCTTAACACAACTAAAGCTTTGTTTTGAACCTTGGTGATTGCCTTCTCTCTCTCTCTGTGTTGGTCTCGTATGTGCACCACACGCACTTGCCAGATGCAGTTTAGTTGAACCCAATGATATTGTGTCATTGTTTTGTAGCATTTTTTGTTGTTCTATTGAAGTATCTTCTAAGTCCCATTTGTGATAATGTCTCCCATTTCATATGTAGTGTATCATAAGCAATAATGCACTGCCTTGGCTGCTGAACCTGTTGACCAATAATCATAAAAAGAGTATCAAGAAGGAAGCTTGTTGGACAATCTCGAATATCACAGCTGGTAACAAGGAACAGATTCAGGTTAACCTAATTATCCATTTTAGTGGTTTTCATATGGCCTTGAATTTTTCTCTTATTCTAATTGTTGAATAGTTTTCATGCATGAATTTTTGCAGGCTGTAATTCAGGCTGATATAATTGCACCACTTGTTCATCTGCTTCAAACTGCTGAGTTTGATATCAAGAAAGAGTCTGCCTGGGCAATATCAAATGCTACATCTGGTGGAACTCATGAACAAATCAAGTAAGAAATTTTTTGGTTCCTCGTCTTAGTACTTGAAAACATGTTTAGTTTTCCAGGTAGCCACAGCAATATATTGTGTGGTGTCTTTGTTGTGCTTCTTTCAGGTTTCTTGTTGACAAAGGTTGCATCAAGCCCTTGTGTGATCTTCTGATCTGCCCTGATCCAAGGATTATTACAGTCTGTTTAGAGGGACTTGAAAACATCTTGAAGGTTGGAGAAGCTGACAAGAACTTGGGCAACAGTGGAGGTGTGAATCTCTATGCTCAAATGATTGAAGATTCTGAAGGGTTGGAAAAAATTGAGCAGCTACAGTCTCATGACAACACTGAGATTTATGAGAAGGCTGTGAAAATTCTAGAGACATATTGGTTGGAGGAGGAAGATGAGATAATGCCTCCAGGCGAGACGGGTCCGTCTGGGTTTAGCTTCGGGGGAAATGAGATTCCTGCAGTTCCTTCTGGTGGATTCAGTTTCAGCTAAAGGTGTAATGCATATGTTGTTCCACCTTAAATAATTGCTTATAGTAGAGTACCTTTAGTTTAGATTGGGTGCAATATTCTTTTTTCTCCTTTCGCTTCCGCTTGCTTCTTGTTATTCATAGTCTTGTGAAGTTCTGAAAATTGATTACTTGTCATTGACTTCAGGAGTTGGGTATCAGGTCAAGAATCTTGTGCATACTGTAGGCCAGTATCGGGGTATTAAGGTCAAGCATCTTCTCCTCGATAAGTACAGGTCCTGTTTTGTCCACTTGGCTTGGTTTTTCAACATAGGCCAAACACATATGGTGCTGCAAGGCAGATGGATTTGGTTGGTGTTGTCAGGGTATTCATATGCGGTCACAACAAATTTAGGAGCCAAAGGTTAAGTGAGCTATCGATGGAGGTGCGCTATCGCAAAACTCAACGGTCAATTGCATTTAGTGTACTGTACAATCGGGTCTAATGACAAGTTTTTTTTTATTTTTATTTTTTAAACTGTTGTGGCTGGGTGATTTTGGCACTTCCTAGTAATCCCTTGCCTAGGAAAAATTGGTTCATTCTTTTTGGTGTATCTGTTTGCTTTTGCCCCTGTTCCTTCAGGATTGTTGTTCTTCTTGTTTAATCTTATATCAGGAAGGTCCACAGCTTATTTACTCTAAATATATGAAGAGAAAGCATTAGACGGCAAAAGATACAAGTTATTCAAGGTGCACGATATTTTTCTTTTTATTTATTTATTTTTCTTCAAAATTTAGTATTATTTTAATTACGAAGCATTACGTTTTTAATTTTATCAAAATTAATAAAATTTAAAATACATGTAGATTTTTTTTATTTTTATTACTATTATAATATCAGAGGGGGATGTTTATTATTAGAAATCCATAATTGTGAAACGTCAAATATTTTGGTTAGTCTTTAACTTTCAACACTGCCTTGTAATCTCGCCCTCTCTCGCAACATAACCCTGAAAGAGTCACTCAAGCTAATAAAATAGCCAGCAAGTAGAGAAGAAGATTACCACGAGCCTTTGCGCTGATAGGTAAGAACTGTCGAGCAGAGATACTCTGGGTTTAAATATAAACAAAAGGTGGGGTAGGAAAAAACGAAGAGATTTTATTGGTACCTGAGAAAAATACAAAGAAACCATTTTTGGACACGATTTCATGTTTTCGAGGCCCGCTGCAGCTTTTCTTCTCCCACCACATACAGACAGACAGACAGAGGGAGGGAGGGAGAGGGTGGAGAGAGTTCAGCGCTCAGCTTTTGATGGAGGTCATTTTAAATGAAAGCTTTGGAAAGTGAGAAGGCCAATATTAAAAACAGCTAAAATCCCACTTCACGAATCAACACAATTAATACGACGGTTATTTCGTTGGAGAAAGAGCTCTGTATCAGACCATCCACCCTTCGGTGTTTAGAGGCGCGGACGTAGCCGTCATTAGAAGCAGAAGACACCGCCGTAATTGAGAGCACGGGTAGAAGCAGACGAGAGGAAGATAAGAGACAGAACGTACGTCGAGTCGAGTAGGTTTGTAGGGAGGAGAACCCGGAGTTGTGCCTAACTTTGTAGTTAAAATGGGTCTTACAGTCATTTTGATTATAAATGTTTGGATACATTCTCAAGATATACGGAAACTTTGAGATTGTTAGAATAAAAATTACATTACTGTGCGTATACATACATATATATATATATATATATTGTAGAGAGTTTGAGAATCATGTTCTTATTTTTTGACATTTGTAAAATTATCTTTAACAACTTAATAAACATTCTATGTTACCTACGTTATACCCACATGATTTAACTAAAAGAAAACAGTAATTTATTATCAAATTATCTTATGCGCCAATCCAAACAGCCAATATCTTCAAAATAAGTCGGACGAGGTTGCACTTTGGTTCCCAACTTTTGACTAGTTTCGTAGTATCACAACTTCCCCTCAAAATTTCAGCAGAAGAAAAAACATATTTTAAATCCTTGAACAATTTGCTCGCCGCTGCATCGCCAGCTCCTTTTTTGCTCACTTCTTCCTCGATCTCTCCTCGCTCGCCGAACGCCTCGTTCTCCGTTAACTCACGGCGGCGTCACTCTCCCATCCCTGTCAGCCTTCATCACCGCCTCTGCTCTTTACGCCACCGCCACTGCGAAATCACATTTGAGAGGTTAAAAAAAAAAAATTACACTCGGAGAAATCTGGGATGACGATGATGATATGGGGAATCCTGTGGGGCCTACCTGAAATGTAAAGGTTGCGAGTGCGGCGTATTCGACACACGCCGCGAGTAGGAAAGAGCACCACTCTCGCTCATGCTGCCACGTGTATCGCGCCGTTGTCCAGAATTTGGCGGGTGTGTCTCGCCCAAATATTTTTTCACATTATTTTATTAACTATTTGAGCGGCCGTTGTGTTCCCGGGGGCATTTAAGTCATTTCGTAAGAAACCCTCGGGGCTAGGGTTTTGTGTTTATCCCCTGTAGACGGAGACACGCGACCCCATTTTTTTTATCTTCCCTCTCTGGCTCTTCCATTCTCCGCTCATCCCCTGTTTCCTCTGCTTCTATGCGTTTGATTTTCGTTTCTTCCATATGCATCCGTTCTCGCGCTTTTGCTGCCGCCATTGAAAACGTGAAGTCTGTTGGTTTTTCTATATCCTTGTGTTCTTTGTTTCTGTACCGGAGAAGGTTTTGACGCATGGGTATGATGGATCTGAAGGAAAAGGTTAGTTGAAAAGCAAGTGATCATGACTTTCAATGCTTTTTCCTTTTTGTCTTTTCGTGGTGGGGGGTTTTGATTAGTTTTTCTTTTGTTTATTGTGTTTTGATTTGATTCAGAGTTGTTTGAGTGAAGATGGGATTGAGAACAGGAAGTGCTGTAGTGATTGTAAGACGACGAGGACGCCTCTGTGGAGAGGTGGGCCAGCTGGACCCAAGGTACTCTTTCATGGCCGATCAACTTCGTTTTTCCGCTTTTTTAAGCTTCCTTCCATCGTTTTGTTTCATCTCTCTCTCTCTCTCCCTCTCTCTGTGCTTTGCCGCTTTCTTTTTTAGCTTACTCGTTTTTTCAGTAAATTAAGTGGGTCTCTGTTCTCTGGTCACTATTTGTGGCTTTTTGACGAATCATACCCTATCATTTGATCATGATATCTTGCTTTAAGGTGAAACTGACATTTTCTACTGCTATGATCTCATGTTCATGGTTTGTTTTCAGTTTCTCTGTGGGTCTTTGGCTCCTTTTTTTTTTTTCTTGTTTTTTTTTTCCAAATCTGTCTTCAGTTCTCTGTCTCTATGAATGAAATCCAACTCTAATTATGTTTTACCTACAATTCCTTGATATAGGTTCTTAGTTGATATTGGCAGTGTCGTAAAAATCTTTTTCTTGGTTTCTAATAAGATTGTCTGATTTGAATTCTTGCAGTCTCTTTGCAATGCCTGTGGGATCAGATACAGGAAGAAGAGGAGAGCCATGATGTGCTCGGGGAACGTGCCTGACAAGAAGAAGAACAGATCTAACAACTCTGCCGCCAGCACCGCCGCCACCACCAACCCCTACTCCACCATGATAAACAAAAGAACTCCCACAGGCTCCGCCAACACACTCACCTCCCCGCAGCCGGGACTAACTAGGGTTTTGAAAGTGAAGCTGAAGGCTCTCGGCGACAATTTCATGTTGCAGACATCAAACGACTCACGCTCCCCGTCGCCGTCGCCGTCCGCGCCGGTCCCGCCGGTGGTGGTGAAGAAACAGAGATGCCAGAGAAGAAGAAAGCTGAAGGAGGAAGAACAAGCCGCTTTTCTACTGATGGCGTTATCATGTGGCTCTGTTTTTGCGTAGAAGACGACACACGGTGGACGAGCCAGAAACGGAGGACCCACCCAGATGCTGTAACGCACACACTACTTACTGTAGCCACATACAGAAAATCAGAGAGAGAAAAAAAAAAAAAAGAGATTCGTCGTCACCCACCTTCCTCCTCTTCTTCTTCTTCTTCTTCTTCTTCCTCTGTCTTTTTTTGATATTGCTTTTCTTGAATTAGTTAGGGATCTGCAGGGACTGGTGCATATTTTGGGGCCTTTTTTTATTTACTTCCCCCAAAGCAAAAAAAAAGTCAACGCCAACCTGGACTGGCTGGTCAAATCTCTGCTTAGGCCGGTGCTTTTTCGGTTTAAAATGGAAAAAAAAAAAAAAAGCCCTTATTGTAAATAATTAATATAATATGTTTGTTTTATATTTTTTTTCTCCTTTTTTGGTTGGATATTAATTTAAATTTGTGCTTTACAATTAAGTTATAAAAAACTATTTAGTTATAACTCTTAAATTTTAATTATTTTATTTTTTGGAGGAAACTTTAAAAAATTGTATAAATTGAGATATATAACTTTTATATAATTTTTAAAAAAATTTAATGCTAAATAAAGTAAATGATTTATGGGTTGGGCCCCGAAGCGACAACTTTTGGGCTCGTCCATGTAACATGTTAGAATTTAATTAAATAAAAATTTTAACTAATGAGTTTGAGTTTAATATTATTTAGTTAAAAACTATTTATTAAACTAATATTATGTTCGAGTCAAATTTGATTATTTGACTAATCATATTTTTGATTTAAACTAATTGGGTTTATAATTAAGAATAAGTTGTTTAAATTTTTGTAATTAACACAAATTGAATTGAGTTGATTGGTTTGCTGAATTAAAATTTTTGGTTTGAGATTAGTGGGTCGAAATGGAAGAGGAGTAAGAAATTAGGAAAGATAAGAAATGGTGTGCGCCCGAGTTATGTGGATCGGCCGCAGTAGATCCGCATCTCACGCCACCCCTTTTCTTCTCTCTTTGCGTAACGCCATTGGCCTGGCCCGAGATAGTTTTCTCGCCGCACTTCCATCCATTTTTTTCTTCCTACTCTTTTCCTCTTTCTCGGCTGTCAAAATCAGTAGTTTTCCTTCTCTAGTCTCTAGAAAGACTCCAACTTCAGTTTCTGCAATGCGCTTTCTTCACCTTCTCGATCTCTCGTACCGGGCATGTCTTTTTTTTCTTTTCTCTCTCTCTCTCTCTGTATGTGAATCGTTCTCTATAAGCTTGTTTTCTGTTGTTACGGAGTGGAAATGAAGGAAAATAGTTGACGTTTGAATGGGTCTTTTAAGTTACGTCAAGAAATTAATACCCTTTATGGATAATCCGAACACTGAAAAATTTTAAGATTTTTCAGATTTGGCTCCGATTTTTCCTCCGTGTTTTAAAATTTTCTTCCTTTTTTCCCCCCTCCCCATTTAAAATTTCGTACTTTTTTTTATGGGTTTGCTGCTAGTGAGATCGGTCTATTTGATTATTTGGGTTGCTACTGTCGGGGACTGATCTGGGTCGATCGCTGTGTGTGAAATTCTTTCTATGTTTTGTTTTCTTATTAAAGACTTTCTGTGTTTCTTCGTCGGTAGTCTTTTTCTTTTTAGTTAAATATGCTTGTGATCATCGTCTGTTAATCTTCTGAGTCGTATGCTTTTGAGAATAAAGTTTCAAACATTTGGAGAACATCTGCTTGATTTTTCTGATAATAATAAAACTAGATATTGAATATGTCTTTTTGGGCAATCCAAGGAGTTGAGGATGGTTAATCAGTGATGTTGAGTACACATTTTGGTAGTCGAAGTTAGTTAAGATTTTTTTTTTTTGCACTTTAGAAGAGGGTACTACTGTGTCCTTGGATCATAGTTTCTTGTGGGTGGGCTGCGATGGTCAGACCTCTGGCCAAATTGATTGAACTTCACCACAAAATTGGCATTGCCGGCTTTTACTAGCGTCTTTTTTCGCTGTCTAGTTTCTGTTTGTCTGACCGTGTACTGTTTCAATGGATCCTGTGATGTTTGACATAGCTTTGAAACAACTTTGTGTATTTAGTGTGGGTGACTGTCTTGCAATTTTGGGTTAAATTCTGAGGAACAGCATGGCATTTCTATAAGCAGGAACAACTAAGACTGACTAAGCTATATGCTAGAAAGTTTTGCAATGCTAACTCCACTATCTTATGACTGTTTAATGACTAGCCATCTAGCTCGCACGTAGGATCTCTCTCTTTGTGGAGCAGTTTCATAAGGTTTAGCCATTCCTATCCTCACAAAACATAAGCTCTAAGTCAATGATTGTATGTGGGAAGTTTTATATTAAGCTGTGCCATCTCATGTAGTAGTGTCGTGCTGCCAAAATTTGTACTTACATTCTAAATGACTTAGAATCTGTTCCTTCATTTTCAGGTGACAGGTCTTGGTCAATTGTTCGTCTGATGCAGAATTTTTCACCTCTTGGAATATATCTTTCTCTTAGATTACTTTGAGTTCTAATGAGAACTCTTACCATGTGCTTTTCAATCTTGCAAGTTCCAAAATGCAGGATCCATTTATTAGCGAACTCTTGTTGGGATAGGTTCTACAGTTGGAGAAGGACTTATGGAAGTGATCGTACCTTTAGATTGCTTAGTTCAAAAACGTGTGGTTTTGAAGGAGGACATAGTAAGAGATGGAGTAGAAGGCATGTGAGTACGAAACCGGAAGGAACAAACAAGAATGCTCAGAGAAGTAAACCAAACAGCATCAGTCATGAAATTTTGGGGGGAACAGGCTCCACAGGCACAGCTGTAAATGTAAATATAAAAGAGATTAGAGAAATTAACGAAATTCAATATTGTGATATTCAACAAAAAATTGCTGGGAACAAAGACGTAACGGATCTTGTTACAATTATTGTTTTTGATATTGAGACTACTGGCCTTAGCAGAGAGAAAGAGCGAATTATTGAGGTTGCACTTCAAGATCTCTCAGGGGGTGACAACAGCACCTTTCAGACGCTAGTGAACCCTGAATGCTATGTTCCAAATTCTCATGTCCATGGCATTTCAACTCACATGGTCTGCAGGCCTGATGTTCCAAGGTATTTTGCTCCTCAATTACTTCATGATTTCTTGGTTTTCCCCCTGCCAATAGGGGAGTCAATCATGACACTGGACATCCATTATTGTTATCTACTTCATCACTTAATTGCAGCCTCCAGCTACACACAAACACGGCTGTAAGTATTTTTTTTTTTTCTAATGGAGAACTTATGAAGGCAAATATTTATTGGTAAATGAAGTAGTTTTTTGGAAATGATGTTAATAAGTATGCCATGTTTTAGTGGCTATCAGCATAAATGGTTTTCGAGTGGAAGATTCATTTCTCTAACAATTAATTTTTATTTCTTTTATTTCAAAAAAAAAATTTCTGTAACAATTAAATTTGATTTTCTTTAATCTTCCGTGATTCATTCTTTTAAAACTATTGATGTTTAATTATAGGTGATATATGTTTCTTTAAAAAAAAAAAATGGAGGTGCTATAGTGCCCATGTAAGAACTCTGCATTCTTTCGTGCACTTAGTCAATCTGGTGGAGAGTTACTTAAATGTTGTAACGAAACTGAATCTAGCATTCCTAGGCTTAAGTTGCACCATCTGGAATTTAAGTAATTTATCTGCTTTGACCTTTCTCTTATTTTATGTCTCTGTTTGATTGTCTAATGAGGGTTTCTCTGAATGGTCAGTCAAATGATTGATGAACTACAAAATACTTTGGTGGAATATTTGATTGAATTTTTCTGTTCCACTTCATTTGCTTATCTGTTTTCCTAATCTACAAGTCTTTTGCTGTTTGACTTGCATTGTTCTTCATTCCTATCTTGTTTTCCAACTGCTTTTGAGACCTGCTTGGTTCTGCATATTAGTTGAATCTGCATCAGCATGTTCACCAGACTTCTATTGACCATACTTTGATCAGCAACTTCCTCATCATAAATATATTTACAGATGCACTAAGTTGTGCTCATAGGCAATCAATATGTGTTTTCTGTAGGATGGTGGACCTGATTCCGATCTTACTGAAGTTTGTCCAGAGCCGTCAGAAACCTGAAGGCTATATCTTATGGGTTGCACACAATGGCCTCCGTTTTGACTTCCCCTTTCTATTCAACGAATTTGAACGTTGCTCTCATGGAATTCCCCAAAACTGGTTATTTATAGACACAATTCCTCTGGCTCGTGAATTAATGAAATCCAATGGTCTCTCTCTCTCTCTTTCTGATGTTTGTGCGTATGCACCATATTATTGACATTTTTGAACATGCATTGAAGCATTGGAAATATTTCTGGCATTCTCTGAAGACTTTATGTTGATTTTCTCTACAGGGTCAACGATCTCCTCCGGACTTTCTCTTCAAGCTCTTCGTGAGCACTTTAAACTTCCCTTAATTGGTTCTGCTCACAGAGCCATGTCTGACGTGAGATTGTTGTCGCTAATTTTTCAAAGGTTGTCATTTGGCTTGAAACTGCCAATATCTGGCATTGTGGAAAGATCTGTGACAGCCTCAGATATTACAACTAAGAAGAAGAAGAATTCAAAATAGGTCTTGTCACCTTTACACATGTTAATAGAAGAATGTCAATCCGTTTTTCGATCAATCATCCTTGTATCTTATATACTCTAGAGGAAGGACCGGAAATAGGTCTAATTATTCTGACCATTGTTGTCACCCCTTAACATGCCAATAAAATGTCAAGCAGTTTTGCATTCAATCCAAATTGTATCTTACGTACTGAATGTTAGTTGGAATGGAAGGCTTGCTAGAAGCTCGGTCTAGCAGCCATTGTTTTTGAATTGAAGTTCTTATTCTTTTTCACCTTCAATCTAACAGACTGAGAGATACCACTTTTCAATTCAACAGCATTAATCATTAAAGTTTTCAACTTAATAAAATATAGTGTACGCTAAATATAACTCTATAAACTTACACGACTGAGACCAACATAATGCCTTCAAAATTTATTTAAAATGTACTAAAAGACAGAGAATTCAAATTTCCATTCACATTTAGAGCAAATTTTCATTTAGATCAATATGGTTTTTCAATATACACTGATGATGTTGAAGTAGCTACTAATTTAAAATTTATAAAAAGTAAATTACAAGTCCATGAATAAATCGTGATGATACAGAACAATTGCTCAAAGACTAAATGGAAATATGATGTATTTCACTTTATTACATGAAAAAATTGATACAAACAAATAATATGCCTCATCTCACCTTGGGAAATTACAAACCCCTGTGTAATTTAAAGGGAAAAAAAATTAAAAAGATCGTCAGGCTCTGTACATAATGTCCCACGGCAATCCAATCATCCCCCCAAAACCCAAATCCTCCCAAAAGTATTAGAAAGAACAAAAATACGGAGTCGATCTGGTAATATGTAATCAGGTTAATTCATGAACTCTGTGGGCTATCTAACCATTCTCGAAACGTGTTAAAAGTTGAAGGGAAGGTATTGACAACCTTCATAAAGCGGTCACAAGAAAATCTCCTTGAGGATTAGGAGAACCAACATGATAAAGCACATAATAACAAGCACAGAAGCACACATCACCATTCCCCCTTGCTTTTGTGTTCTCTCTGCCTGCAGTTTTTTACCAGTTCATGTAAGAGAATGAAGGAGGAGAAAGAGAAAATTGAAAAATATCAAGACCAAAATAACTTATAGAGACAGTACCTTCTGCAGCTGTTTAAGTCCCTCCTCAACTGTGCTTGCAACATTCTGGACATTGTAGTCTATCCTATCAACTATGGTTCCCTGTTTCGAGAAGAATGTTAAATAAGTTACTTTACACTGATGCAGAAAGGTTCATGGGCTTTATTTGATGCACAAAATACAGAACTAAGAAAAGAGTAAAATACAATTTAAGACCTGACAGTTTTGAGGTTTCTTACATTCGGTATCCATAGTTACTTTTAGCAGTTTCAACACTAGAGATTTTATTATTAGTAAAATCATATGATACCATTAGTTTGAAATAATATGATACTCTTAGTTTGAAAACATGATCAATCTGAATTTTAAATAGCTTGACATGTTAATGACTTGAATTAAAACTATCCAAAAAAAAAAATTTTTAAAAGCTTAGAAGTTGTATTATCTTTTTTGAAATAAAAAGTATAAAGTGTATATTAAAAAATTGGCTCCAAGGGGATGCCACCCATGTATAAAAATATTTACAAGTTAATCAATGTATTCATGAAACTCCCAAAATCCTCCACTCTGTTTATATCATGTCCTAAGAACAAAGAGTCAATATGGTGTAACCACCTATCCCTAAATTTAGCTCTCTCTCCTTCAATCCCTTCAAAAACTCTCCAATTTCTTTCTTTCCATACAACCCAAAATATAATTAGTGGTGTAAGATTTAAAATTTTCCTCCCCTTACTGATTCCTTCCCAAGCCCATAATTACTCTCTCACTGAGCCTGCACTGACCAGTTAATGCCCAAAAAGCCATGAATCATAATCCATAGGCTGTAGACCACCGTACACATAAAAGAATATGATTACATGATTCCTTTTGCACATAAAACATCAATTCACTAGAATTTTGTAACCTGGAAATATGATTACAAAAGTTTGTCTTGAAGTAGTTAGTGGTTACAATCCTTTCCCCTATTTACAGCACATATTTTCGAAATTCTAAACCACCAAATATTACTTGACAATATCATAGTAAGTTGTACCATACTATAGGGTAAACTAAACAAACACTACCTTTACGAACTTGTTGTAGAAGTTAGCAGATACTCACCTGATCTATCACTAGCACCGAGAGATCCTTCATAATCTGGGCGAGCTCATTTACTGATTCCACAACCTATAAGGAAAAAAATAATTATTTGGTTAGGATGGTGACATTTACAATGTGAAGTTGAAAAGAGAAAATCATAAGCAAAAATGTTTCTGCAAACCTGTTGGATCTCTTTTTCCCTCTCCACGGTGAATGCCTCATTCTTTTTTATCCTGGCCATCTGATGCTCATTAAATACCTGAACATGTTAGTACCATTAGCAATTGAGATGGAGCCATAATCATCATGTGACCTAAGATACCATCAGTGGTGAATTGATGCTACAGTTGCCACGTGACCTAATGTCGAATGTTTAGGTACTATTAAGAGTATATTAAATAAAGAAGTTTTTCTTCTCCTTTTCCCATAAAAGAGCGAACAAGGCATACCAGGTCATCCAGATCATCATCTTCAACTTTAGATCTAACACCATTTAGATTCATCTCCAA